TTCAAACATATCTTTCTGACCATAACAATTTGAATGTTAGTGTACCTTAAAGTACCATGCGCAAAAATAATAATAATATTGAAATAAAAATACACACAGACACACACACACACACACCCCGGTCCATATGTAAACATAGAAGTACCATAATATTATGTAATACTTATGATGATTATCTGACTGAGGTCCGTGCCATTACTTTTTGTTTTTAATATATTATGCATCTTTTTATGTGTCTTTATTTATTAGTTTTTTTGTTTGTTTGTTTGTTTTTGTAAAACACTTTGAATTATTGTTGTTTATGAAATTTGCCATATAAATAAATGTGTGCCATACTGTTAGATTGTTTTGTCTATGAAGAGTCATGATGTGATTGACTTTGTTTAGGTGATGCAGGACAAAAAGGTGATAAGGGAGATAAAGGAATTGGAATTCCAGGAATTCCTGGAGAACCCGGACAACAAGGTACGAGACGCTAAACCTCAACTTTCTGCTAATCATACTTTACCATCATTTCAAAAGATAATGGAGTCATTGTGAAGGCCAATGAAAAAAAAACGGTACTATAAGTTATTTTCGACTTCTTACATCAACATTTTCAAAACCCTACCAGGACCAGCTGGCAAGCCTGGCATCGGTAAGGACGGTCAGGACGGGGCCAGAGGAGACGCCGGGGTGCCAGGGACCCCAGGAACCCCTGGAGCCAGAGGACCTCCGGGCGCCCCTGGTCTTTGTGATCCTTCAAACTGCTTTAGGCCTCAACCTCTTTACCTGGTTGGCGGGAAGAAGTCCATCAACATCAAGGGTCCATGAACAGAAACCTAGAAACCTTCATCACAGTCATCATCAGGTAGTCCATCTCCGACAAACTTGAAGAGACTTCAGATGGTGAGAGAAACAAACGTGACAGATGTATAGAGACATACGGATGCAGCTCCTGATGGTGGATCCAGTTCACATGACTTATTGTTGTACCTTGTACATAAACTAGAAGAAAATGTGTTCGTTCTTTTAGATGGTTTACAGTAAATTGCAGATTAATAAATTAATTGGAAATTGTCGTTTCAGCTCTTGGGCCACAAACTGGTTACACAAACCACTACATTGCAATTCTGCAAGTGTGTTTTTTTTTTTTTTTTTTACAATTCTGCAAGTTTTTTTTTTTTTTTTTTTTTCATAAAATGTGATTTTAAAGACCAGTTTTAGACATGGTGCCAGACGTTAAGCTACGCCAACACAACGACAGTGTGATCCAACAACAGCTTGAAATAAAAGCGTTTCACCACCATGCTACCAGCGTGCAACGGTTTATTTATAATCAAAAGCCTGAATAAGAGGTTTCTGTCACCATACCTGTAGATAAGATCCCCATATTATTATACAATTAGAAATGTGTTTCTCAAACAAGAACTGTTCTTTGTTGATGTTTTTTAGGAAGCCGGATTATGTGTTACATTCCAGATTACATGCAATCTGGATTACATAATCAGATTCCAAAAATAAAGTACTTGTAATTAGATTACATTTTAAGAAACACAATCAGATTATGCTACTTTTTTTTATAGATTACATAACACATTATTCATTCAATGACAATACATTTATTCATTTACTCTAATAAAATTTCCTTAGGAAAACAAATCTTACCACTTATCACGCAATCATTTTAAGCATGTATTATATGTCTTTGGAAGCACGTATTATATGTCAGTTAATAATCACAATTACATGCAGGTAAACACAGTAATTCTATTTTTACTATTCAAGGGTTTTATTTTAATTGTTTTTAAATTAGTGGTTAAACTAGTTGGTTGTCAACTACATATTTGAAGTTTTTAAATTAATTACAGATTGTCAGAAAAGGAACTATTCCAGAATGACACTTTTATTGGCACATAATCATTTAAGGTTCAATACAGGCTCTGTGTACAGCATCTATGGCATATTGTCAACCGCAATAGAAAATGTAATAATTTCCACTCACATAGGGTTTAAAATCATGTGACTGCATTGTCATTAAAGAGCCTAGGTTTTCCATAGAATTTGTCAATGGACAAATAAGGACTATGCACAAATGGTGGTAATTGATTGTAGCAATCTTATTGCAAGTCAATGGTAAGTGCACTACTGTGATAATTATAAAGAACATTCAAGGAAATAATTCTGAATTTTGAAGCGTTTAAGAAAAAGAAGCTCACTTAAAAATCTTAGCCATATAGTATTAAACTGATTAAGAAGACAGATATGAAAATCCCATTGATTTTTTTCCCCCAATGAAACATACATTTTCAAAACTCTTAGCAAAAAAGTCCTTTTAGATTTGATCATTCATGTTTTGTTCATTTAGACTGTTTTTCAGGAATAAAACATGCAAACTTGTAAATTCATTACTGAAGAGAACTGTACATGGTATAAACTTAGATTGATTTTTCTCTCACAATAAGAACCCAATTCTAGTAAATGGACCTGATCCAGTCTTTACACACACGCTCTCCCCACACATACACATACATCAACCTAATTAAGATTAACTGTAGCACCACAGAATCAGTATAAACAAGTGGATTATACCATGCAAAAATCATACTATTTTACATCACCTGCACCTGTAGTTCATTAGAATAATTTAATGCAAATTGATATGGAAAAACAAATACAGTCATTATCGGCTTGAAGAAGCCAAACTAACAGGAGGATACGAAGTCAAAAAGCAACTATATTTGAATAAAGTGGAGAAGAACATGATAGCAAGTATTTCTCTGGCCTGCATCAAAAAAGCACCATTCATTTACATAAATTTGCATCGGTAATAAGCTCAGCTTTTCCAAATACATCATCAAAACATCATCTCTTGAATGTGATTCTTGAAGGCAGGGCATAGATGGACAAAATAAAAAAAAAATTATAAAGTGTGTATATAATACTCATTACTAAGAGCTTTATCGTGGTCATTGAATTAGAAGGTAAACGACAAGTCTATAACAGTATCACATCTGGTTTTGCATTAAAATATAATTAATCAACATATTCAAATCATTCTTATCCACTAATGATGCTGTAAATTATTTCAGCCATTTTGCTAACATTCCACACATGATCTCTCTTTAAAAACCTCACCCTGCAAAGACAGAACATGCAAAATGATGGGGAAAGTAACTTTCTGATTGTCTGAAAAAAACCAAAAAAAAAACAGATCACTCCCTCTTTCAGAGACACCTATCTGTCAGGTTAGTGAAATAAAATAAAATAAAATAAAATAAAATAAAATAAAATAGTAAAAGAGTATTAGCTTTTGCAAAAAAGGTTAAAGCTCTACAAAAATTTCATTCAAAAAATATTATGTAATACTTGTGCAATAATACTGAAAAGAAAAACAAAGAACGGGGAAAAAAACTAACATTTAGGCAAGACTGAAAAGTCAATCTTGTTTCTTTTGGATATTACAATTTCCGTCAAGTGATCTTAAAAACAACTACAATATTCTGACATAAAGCTATTCTTGACCTCACTGATGCTACGATGCCCGTCCGTTGAAGATGAATTGCATCCCTGTTTGTGGGCTGAAGAGAGTTCGTTTTGAAGCAGTCTCTACTCTTTCAATGGCTTTAATTGGCTCGCAGGGGAGCAATCTGCAGGATCGATCCATCTGAGCGCTTTAGTGACACAAATGATAGTACTGCTTTAACTAGGACTTTGTGTTCCAGAACTTCCATAATAACCAACGCAATGGTGTTTTGAAAAGAAGTGCTGCACAAAACTATTACAAATGCATTATAAGTGGCGTTAGTCGTGTATTTACACAGTGACAGCCTTTATGACAATCCAGCCGTGTTAAACTATCAAGCAGCTGCCTTTCAGTCATCACAAACACGAGTTTAATGATCCGGAAAAAAAACTAAAAACAGCAAGTTATTTACCAAATGCATGGCTACAAATGAGATATATCTTACAAAACGTAGACTAAAAAGAGCAGAAATGCAGTTCTCCATCACCTCCAGGACCTCTAATGATCCTTATTGAGATTTCCTATTGATGAGTGGAAAGGTGTCCCGCTGAGTTCTCCCAGAACATCAATAAAACTCAAGTAGAGAATTCCCCAGACTTCCTGACCTGCTACAGACATCACTAACAATAGATCGACTCTGTGATTACTGATTAATGACCTCAGTAAACGCCGTCAGCAGAACTCGAGAGTGGGCGGCACAATTGTGTCATTATGAGATCACGGTCGGGGAAGGTAACAGGAATTCTCATCCTGTTACACGGAAAGCCTCGAAAGTCTTGACTTGAAGTAAATGACCTTGACGTTGAGCTTAAACCCACCCCTCCTTTAATAAAAAGAAATAGCCAACTCTGACCGGCAGGACACTAGAGGGCTTTTCACACTTAAAACTGTTAACCAAGGGCCATTTTTAACCCTGGGTTAGTAAGATTCACACTATAGCGGGTTAGAAATCAATCCTGGGTTTCACATTCTACATTATTAAAACCTTGGGTTAACATTCTTATTAGCATATATATGAGGTTAAATACATTGATTGGGCAAGTACAGTACTCAACGTTATTTTATTAACAAACATTTTTTGTCTCTATTTAGCATGTCTAGCTATCTTTCAGACACTGAAACTAAAAATTTTGAAACCCAGATTTTTGGAGCAATTAATTTCAGTGACGTTTGTTATTTTTCAAGCTATTTATGATTAGTGGATACGGATTTTCACTGAAATGTCAACTTAATTTTAAATAACTTTGAACAATTGGTGAACCAGCTGAACTGATTCACTGAGAAAATATTTCAAAAAAATATTTCAAAAATAATTCAAAACTCAAAGTTTATTTAAAGTTCATAATGAAAATGTATATTCACTGTAGAAATGTCCATAATATTTCCATGGTTTCTTAAAGTCTGGCGATATATATATTAGGTAGGTCTCTATTACATACATTTTCCATGGGCAAAAAAAGAGAATCATAATTTTTTGTATTTCTTGTATATATTTTATGATTAATATCTTGCTAAACAAGCATTGTTTTGACATTTTACACCTTTAGCACCACTATTCAGAGTCAATCCTGCTCGAGGCTAGACTTCATAACCCGGATCTGAAAGTGCTAATGCTACATGCCAACACCTTTTCAAAACCTAAAGTGTGAAACGTTGCTTAACCCAGGATTAAAAGTGGCCTTAACTCAGGGTTCAAGAACACATTAGCTGTAGTGAAAAGCCTATGACAAACACACGTATAAACACACACACACACACATTCACTCACCCCTCAGACTCTGTAGTCCTCCTGATGTTAAAGAACATGTTCTTGGCTTACTGAATGTCCAAGTTCATAATAGGTGTTTGCCCAGGACAGTGAGTGTATTAAGTCCCCTTGACGTTTTTGGTGTGAGGTCTTGATGCCAGACTGGCGTAGTAGGCACATTGTGAGGGGTCACACTGCCCTGGCGGTCCAGAGGGTCCGGGCTGACCGTGAGGACCAGGATTACCAGGCTCTCCCTGAGCACCTGCGGCTCCAGGAAGACCATCTTTTCCATATCCCGGCATACCTGCAGGACCTGTGGTGCAAATACAGTCTCAGCTGCTGTTCATCATTCCAACAATCACAATTTACCCAAAAAATAGTAACGAGTAGAATGGTCTTATAAATAGGTCTTCATTTTATATATATAATTTTACATTTACACTTAGTCATTTAGCAGACGCTTTTATCCAAAGCGACTTACAAATGAGGACAATAGAAGCAATCAAATCTAACAAAAGAGCAACAATATGTAAGTGCAAATGACAAGTCTCGGATAGCCTAACGCATATATATATATATATATATATATACACACACACACACACACACACACACACACACACACACATATATAAATATATATATATAAATCTATGCATATATACATATATAAATCTATAATTGTGTTTATTTATTATTTTAAAATATTAAAATTAATTGAATTGTTAAAATGAAAATAAATGAATAAATAAATACTACCACAATGTATAAATATTTTATCATTTTAAATAAATGCAAAGAAAAAAAAACAGAGCTATAAATACTACATATATTATACTGTATAAAATTAAGGGCTATTCATAAGACCATTTTACTCTTTTGCATTTTATTTTTAAGTACATTTTTAATCCAAATCCTCATAACAGTAAGGCAAGAAATATGAAATTTGTATTACTATAATGTGGAAATAAAACGTCATTCTCAGCTAAAAGTAACATTTTTTTTTTTATCTAAAATTAATTTACAAAATGAAAGAACAAAAAAGGATAAAACAATAAAGTAAATTAAAGACAGTGCATAAATACTACCATGATATATAATTATTTTATCATGTAAAATATTTAAAGAAAAATAAAAAATAGAACTATATTATATTATGTAAAATTAAGACCATTTTGCATTGTGACTATTTTTTAAGCACATTTCTCTCCAAAATTCTCATTACTGTAATGGAAAAAACTCATTTTTATTACTGTCCTCTGTAAAGAAAATAAAACTATTTAAAAATATTAGCATTAAAGGTGGATATTGATGTCAATGCAATCTTTAAGGTCCTTTTTTTCCATTTTAGGTTGGGCTTTTTCTTGACAGTTTTCATGAGATTCATCCAAATACATCATCTGAGTCAATGCAAACTTGAGCACTGATGACCAAATGGTCTTACCCATGGGACCAATTGGACCAGGCTCTCCTCTCTGTCCAACACCATCCTCTCCCTTCTCACCTCTTGCACCTCGTTCACCTGAAGAAAAAAAAAGGAAAGTGTGGGTGGGGGTTAAAAGGTTAATCATCAAGTAAAGTAACAATCTGAAATTAGTTTTGCAGTACCTTTAGGACCAACTGGACCTCTGGGTCCTTCTGCTCCATTTTGTCCAGGTATTCCAGGCTCTCCAGGTGGACCTTGTCGGCCAGGAGGTCCATCTTTACCTGCCGAACCAGGCGGACCGGGGCGGCCAACTGAGCTCTTGATATGCGCAGGCTGCATTTGAGCCATGAGGTAAGCTAACTTAGCTGTGAAAATTAACGGAAAGTTTAGGAAATGTAAAAAGATACAGCAAAGGAAGTCAAAAGCATCTTTGCCAAATGAATCTCACCATCCAACTGTTTGGAGAGTTCCTCTTGAATGAGCCGCCGCATTTGTTCCAGTGATGGCGTCTCACCCTTAAAACACGTCGAAATGACGTCATGCTCTTTATAATATCATTAGCATCACACACTTTCCATTAAAAATACTAAAGCAGACTCACTCTGAGACCTGGGAGACCCGGCTGTCCTGGAGAACCAGGGGGCCCAGAGGGACCCACTTCCCCTGGGGGTCCCGACATGCCCATCATTCCTGTGTGACCCTTCCTGCCGGGAGGCCCAGGGTTACCCGGAATGCCCGGATCACCAACGGGTCCTTTGTCTCCTTTTATTCCATTATCACCCTACAAAAACGAGCAACACAGTAAGTTTTGATTTGATTTGAGAGGCACATACAGTATGTGGATGGATGGATTGATGGATGGACAGATACCTTTTCTCCCTTCTGTCCTCTGTCTCCTGGTTTTCCTGACATGCCCTAAAAATAAAAACAAAAATACATGGCTAGCTGAAAAAATTATGAAGAAGTGTTGATATAATATTAATGAATCATCACTCACTTGTTTGCCCTCTGGGCCAGTTGGACCAGACGGACCCTGAGGGAAAACACAAGTGTAAATATAGACAGGCAGATAGCAAAAAACCTTCATATCCACTTGGGACTGAGTGCTTTCAGCTTCTATAGATTTACAAGGCTTGTTTGTACAAGTATAAAAGCTTAACTTTATTAATTAAACTGAGATTCCCATAAGTCCCAAAGCAACATCTCCACTCACCGATGGCCCTTTTGGACCTGGGAAGCCGGGTAATCCTGGACTCCCTGCTTCTCCTTTGTGTCCTGGCTGACCCTGAAACATGATAAAACAAAATGCTCATTTACATTAATGAACTTTATTACCTAGGTGGAAAAATTGTTTTTTCCCTGATTATTACTAACTATATATATATATATATATATATATATAACTTTGTGAATGTAAAAATCAGTAACATTTTTTTAAAAGGCTGCATTTATTTGAACTAAAATACACTACAGTCACACAGTTATACTGTGAAATATTATTAAAATGTATTAATTAATTGTAATATATTTTAACATGTAATTAATCCCTATGATGGCAAAGCAGAATTTTCATCAAATCATTAAAATATGCTGCTTTGGTGCCCAAGAAACATTTCTTATTATTATCTATGTTAAAATAGTTGAGCTGATTAATATATCTGTGGAAATCGTGATCTATTTTTTTCAGGATTCTTTGATGAATATAAAGTTAGAAAGAACAGCATTTATTTTAAATGTGTTAAAGTGTAAGTCTTTACTGGCACTTTTGATTAATTAAAAATAGCATACATATGTGCAAAATATTATCTGGAAAGAAAAATCTTTAGTCAAGACACTATTTTTTTAAGCATTACATTACAAAAATTTTTTTAGAAAGCAGAATTAAATTCTTCATTTTTAAAATTATTTTCTTTATTTTTATTTCTTTAATTGACATCCAAAATTTTCCTTTTGCGGCCCCTAGAGATCTCTGGACCCATGCTTTAATAGACAAACAAGCTTTTGCTTTTGTCAAGGTGCAAGAATGAATGCAAATGCAAATCTCAGTCCATTAAACCGCGTGGCCATGCATATTGACGCGATACTATGAAACTTACAGGATTTCCTTGAGATCCAGGCTTGCCTGCTTGTCCAGGTTCTCCAGGCTGACCCTAAAAATACAAAAACACAGTGACCCAACAGAATAATCACACGGGTGCTGTTTTGTTTTGCAATTTAATTGGTTCATCAAAAGCCTCCTCACGGGTTCCCCTCGTGGTCCTCTCATGCCCTCTGGCCCCAGTGGTCCGGTTTTACCCTGGGCGAAACAAGTACACCAATTAAAACCCAACACCATCTGCTTGCAGCGGTCAGGTTTACAGTGACCTCTGCACAACACAGATTGCATCTACTCACATCTTTCCCAGGTGGACCCTCGCGTCCAGGAACACCCTGTTTGCCATCTTCTCCCTAATATGACATGACAGCATTTATTAAACAGAACCCATGAAGTTTCTGCATGATTTAAGGAGCATGTATTAGTCCTGTAGTTCCCCATCTCTGAATACTGGATGTACTGTATCGCTGGGTATGAATTTGAATTGGCATTGACTAACCTTTGACCCTGGTGGTCCTGGTTCCCCTCTGTGACCTTTGAAACCCTGGAAAAGACAGAAACAAAGATGTGAACATTTCAGCCTATAGGTGCAGGTAATAAGGTAACACTTTAGATTAGGCAACACATATTCCTTATTAACTAAGAGATTTTCCCCTCAATAAACTCCTAATTTGCTGCTTTTTGATAATAAGTAAGGTAGTTGTTGCAATATCTGGATCTTCTATAATATGGTCACGCAGAATAAGGCATTAACAAATGCTTTATAAGTAATAATAAACTGCCAATATGCTAGTAATATACATGCTAATAAGCAATTAGTTAATATCGATTAATGTTCCCTAATCTTAAGTGTCTCTGATATCAAGGTGCATTTCTGTGAGGTATAACAGCCCTGGCAGTCTAGTTTTATCCAGAAAATCATCTGTAATCACGTCACTCACAGGCATTCCTCTGAGCCCGTCTCTTCCTGGTGGTCCTGGCTCTCCCTGTTTGCCCTGAAAAAGAAAATTAAAATGATTATGTTTTTACATTGTTTCTGTATATACAGAACTAAGTACTGTTAGGATGTTGGCATGCATGCAGTACATCAGACTCATACCGGCTCTCCTGTTTCTCCTGGTCTTCCATCCTTTCCAGGTTTACCCATCAGGCCCTTCAGCACAGAATATGAAGTATCAGTATAGCTTGATGGAGTTATTAAACTTATTCTTCAATTACACTGACCCAAAAGTTTAGTGTCAATAAGATTTTTTTGTTTGGTTTTTTTTGGAAAGAAATTAAATACATTCATTTAGCTAGGATGCACTAAACTGATAAAAAGTGACAGGAAATACTTTTACATTTTTACCTTTTTTTATTTCAAACAAATGCTGTTGTTTTATACATCAAACAATCCTGAATTAAAGTCATGGATTCCACAAAATTATTAAGCATTGATAATAATGTGAATACGAAATGTTTCTAAATCAGCATACTAGAATGATTTCTGAAGGATCATGTGAAACTAAAGACTGGAGCCATGGCTGCTGAAAATTTAGCTTTGCATCACAAGAATAAATTACATTTTTAATTATATTCAAATAGAAAACACTTATTTTGAATTGTAATAATATTTCAATATTTATGTTTTACTGTGTTTTTGATCAAATAAATGTTTATGCCTTGGTGAGCATAAACATTTTAAAATCTTACCAACTCCAAACGTTTGAACCGTAGTGTATTTGTACTAAAATTTTTTTTTTTTAAATTATGAAATTACACACCATTAGACCTGGAAGACCAGGTGGTCCCTGAATACCCTGAAGTCCTTCTTTACCCTGGTAAAACACATTCAGTTATCAATAACGTGGCCGGATTCCAGTCTTGCAATCCATCCAACTAACACACATTCAAATGACAGAACAAAAAAAACTTTAGCCTTGCCTTTTCTCCAGGAGCTCCAGGTGGTCCGATAGGTCCAGGGTTTCCATCATTACCCTATTGATACAGCAAGATGTAAGATTTTTCAGCATAGCTATACAGTCTGAATAAGTGGTATTTTAAAATACTCACAGGCTGACCTATTGCTCCTGCGGCCCCTGGATAACCAGGAGGTCCTGGGGGGCCCTGGGAAAATACAAATCAATGAGAGAAAGATGTGGTATAATGATAAATAATCACGATATGTCAAATGTAATATGTATTATATGTATATTCAGCCTATTTATGATGAAAATGGTAGGCTGACAATACCTTTTCACCTTTATCTCCAGGTGCTCCTGAAGGACCTCTGTCTCCTTTGACCCCCTGCAATGGAACCAAATATAAATGGTTATTATACAAAAAAATTCTCAAGCGGAGAGTATAAAGGTCATGTAATGATGCAATGTTGTCAGATGACATGCAATTGGCACATAAATGGCTAGTGAACCTATTATTGTGATCAATGAGACAAGGTTCTCTGAATGTGAACTGGTTTGTAGGTAGACTTGAAGAACATGCATTTGTACTGTAATATGTGATTGTGTCGTCAACATTCTAACCTTGGCTCCATCAGCACCAGGTGGTCCTGCAGGCCCTGTTGGCCCAGGAGGACCCTGCCAAAGCGACCAGTTTATTAAATGTTCATTATTCCATTCATTAAACTTCAGTTAATTTCCAATTCCATTAAGTTTAAAGAGGAAAGTGAGAGTTTGATTTCTGAATCATGCTCTCTCACCGCATATCCATCCTGTCCGTTTTTCCCAGGTGGTCCAGTATGACCTTTTTCACCTGGAGGTCCTGGCATACCCGGTTGTCCAGCTGGTCCAGGGGGACAATCTGAACAAATGTCCTGGGAAAGAGAGAAAGGCAAAGTTGGAATATTAGGATGGATGGATTGAGGGTTGGGTTGATGATGAATGAATGGATGACTGGATGAATGGAAGAATGGTTGGATGGAGGTTTGGATTGCTGGATGGATGGAGAGTTGGATGGATGAATGCATGATTGTGTGATTAGAAAGCTAGAAGGATGGTTGGAGGGACAAATTGATGGTTGGATGGATAGTGGGTTGGTTGGTTGGTTGGATGTATGGATAGATTGTTGGATGGATGGATGGATGGAAGGATGGTTGGAGGTTTGGATTGTTAGATGGATAAATGAATGGATGGTTTGATGGATGCAGGGTTGGTTGGTTGGTTGGATGTATGGATGGATGGTTGGATGGAGGTTTGAATTGTTGAATGGATGGATGGAAAGGATGACTGTATGACTAGATGGATGCATGGCTGTTACCTTCAGGTTCAGATCGGAAATGTCTGCAGCTTTTCCCTAAAAAAAAGTTGGAAAACAAAAATCCATTGAAAAAAACCTATTCATAAATCATAACCCATGCATATATGATCCATCAGCAGCAGGTGAATATTAATAGTGTCAGCTGATTTTATATTTAAATGGCGAACAGAGCGAACACTCACTGGATCTCCAGGGGAGCCCTTCTCTCCAGGTCTTCCTGGTAAACCCTGCAGGTAGACACACACACACACACACACACACACATTCATAAGCCATGACTGCTGCTGCTGATCCTCACCACAGGAAAACAAACCTTGTTAGTCACAAACTGACACTGAATCCCCGAGACGACTTAACTGTGATCCACAGCAGTGCAGTGAAACTGGTTTAGTTCTGCATCATGACTGGAGATTGAAAAGTAAAGCTCCTCATTGTCATTGTACAGGCAAAATAAAATTAGTGCTAAGGTGTTTTTTGCATGTTGCTAGAGTGTACTGTAGTACAAGAACAAATCCCTAACTATTAATAAGCATGTTAATAGTATTGCTTGCAATAGTGAGCATCAATAACTTTAGCAGATCATTAAAATCTGTAAAATCGACCAATAATGGTGACAAATCTTGTTCATTTTATCCAATAAAATGTTCTCTAGAATGAAAATATCAAATCTCCCTGAATTATAACCACAACCTGACTAGCATTAGCATGTAGCTAATTACAGGCTGTCAGTGTGTCTTTGGTTGTGTGCTGTTCAGTTCTGCAAACATATTTAAAAGTACTGATGCAAAACAAAACAACTTGATGTACCCATGTATATGATTCTCTTATCCCTTCGCTACTGGTGTAGCATATAAATCTTACATTGTGTCCAGCGGGCCCCTGTGGTCCGCTCACTCCTGGAGGTCCTCTCAAACCCTGAATATCAAACATGACATGTCACTTAAGGGTGTTCTGTGAGCGTCTATCTCATTTGAAAGTGATATAAATATGAACAGATTGTTTACCGCTGGTCCTTGTGGCCCTGCAGGTCCAGGAGGCCCCTGAGAAAGACACAGAATATCAATCAGATGTGAGATAAAGAAATGTGCGTATGCGTTTGTCTTCAAATCGACACTAAATAGGGTCTGAAATACTGAAATACTGTAAATGGAAAATTCACATAAGCTTTCACATTACAGTATGCATGCTTTTATATGCATGTGCTTGTAAATATGCATGTTTGTCTGTGCATATGCCATCTGTTTGCTTTAGTTTGACCAGTTGAACTGGTATCAATACCTTTTCCATATGCAAATTAAAAAGGTCGGTTTTCGGCCATATGGAAATTCTGGAGTCATTTGAGTTACTAACACTAACATGTGAAAATGACTGCGTTTTGATTGGATATTTCAATGGCAGGATGAGCAGATAAACAGCCATATGACTGAGTCAAAGTGTGAATATGTATAATTCAAAAGGATAGTCCACTTTCATGTCATTCCAAAACAAATACAAAACAAATGTCCATACTATGCAAGTCAATAGGAAATGAAACATGTTGGTTACCAGCATTTTTCAAAATATCTTCTTTTGTGTTTCACAGTCATACAGGTTTGAAACAACATGTATACGACAGAATTTGAACTAACACTTTAACATCTGTCTTTTTTTCTTTTTTGCCATTTAAACACTTTCTTGTTCATTCAGTCATGGTGACTTTGTAATCTCCTTTCACAAAGTTTCCAGAAATGAAACCTGGCTCTAGTTTTAGATGTCGTCAAGGCAGTTTCTCTAGCAGAAATGATTGCATTTGGCTGAACTAGTGAGAACTGCAGTAATTCAGGAGAGATTTCTCATTTCACACTAATAAATTCAGGTGAGAGCAGATACATCACCGTAACAAGCTTGTCTGTGTTTGTATAAATGATGCATCGCTTGGTGTCTGGACTACTTTAGTAGATGAGTGCATGATCGAGAGCGCTTTCATTAATTCAATTTTTAATATAATATAAAACAATATAATACCTAATAATATAATAAAATGTAATGTAATATACCTTGAGTAGCAGCCCGAAAAAAAGTATTAAAGTAGGAGGCTGAAGATGGGCAGGTCATGATGTCAATATAGAGGAAGTGACCAGATGAATTATTAATTAGCCCACACCTTTTCAGTCATGTTACCTAATTAATATTCAAATATTCCAAACTTTCACCTTGATATTTATAAACTGATGTCCTGTGCAGATGTGGTTGAGTTGTCGGGAATTTTAGACTTATTTGCTTTATTTTATTTTTTTATATTATTAGTCAAGGGATCAAAAGCAGAGAGCAAAACATCTCATTTTGGATGTGTCAAAACTAAAATGTCAACGATTTAGAATCAATAAATCATTATTAATTTTTAACAGCTACAGTAAATCTTTAAATAACACATTGCTTGGCCATCTTCCTGCAATAGCACTAATCTGTGGATAGATGCACGGGATCTGCTTTTTTAAAGGGTTAGTTCACCCAAAAATGAAAATTAGCCCATGAATTACTCACCCTCAAGGCATCCTAGGTGTATATGACTTTCTTTTTTTCAGACGAATCCAATCGGAGTTATATTAAAAATTGTCTTTGATCTTCCAAGCTGTTTAATGGCAGTCAGCGGGTGTTGCAGTGCATCAGTCCAAAAGAAGTGAAATAAAGCACATCCATCCATAATAAAAAGTGCCTCACACGTCTCCGGGGGGTGAACAAAGTCCTCCCGTAGCGAATCGATGCGTTTTTGTAAGAAAAATATCTTTATTCAAAACGTAATAATCCCTTGTATCTAGCTTGTGCCAACAGTTGTACACGGAAGCAGCTCCGGGAGGATGACGTAAGATGTCGGCGTCTGCGTTCGTCACTTCTGAGCGGCGCATGCGCAACGCTGACCTCATACATCATCCTCCCGAAGCCCCCGGACCTCATACGTCATCCTCCCGCCAGGTTCAGGAATCACATTGGCCACCTAAAGAAAAAGAAAACACATCACTGTGAAATAATACTGTAATACTATGAATTAAAAGCCATATTCATCAATAAATAGATCATCAGCTGAATCAATACATGATTCAAAATATACATATATATGAATATGCCACTTCTACGTTCATTTATCTGATCTATTACTCACATCAGATATCAGCTATTATTATTATCATTACTTAAATCATCTATAATTGTATATTTATATAGTTACATGTTTGTATATAGTATATGTCAATAATCAGCTGTACTCACATTGCCTGGGACCCCGGCTGGACCCCTGGGGCCAATCTCACCCTGTATGAATGAAAAACAGTAACAGAGGTTATATCCTCATCCTGTCAGCATGTTAATTATCTCATTAATGACCTCATGCCCTCAGGAAACCATCGCTGACAGTTGAATCCTGAATGTGTGAAACCTACAGCAACTCATGGTCAAAAACGGCTTCTCTAAGCCTTCTTTACTGTAGAATGATGTAATGTTGATACAGCAAAAGTCATTACACAGATGTGACTTGTAGGCAATTGTGCATTTAAACAAAATGAGTCTTAGTAACAAATTAAGAATGAGTAGGTGTCTATTTTAGTCGTATTAAATAACCATAAGTATGAAATCACTAGGCACACAAACATTCAATAGTTTTCATGTTCTTAAAAGCATTAAATCTAAATTTATCAAAAATCCAGTACATTAACATTGCAAAACAGTAACATTGTAAAATATTACAACATTTTAAAAGAACATCCCTCAGAAATCATTCTAATATGCTGATTTGCTGCTGAAGAAACATTTCTTATTATTATCAATGTTGAAAATGGTTGTGCTGCTTAATAATTTTGGATCAAAAGAACAGCATTTATTTGAAAAATAAATATTTTTTAACATTATAAATATTATCTTTACTGATGTGCATCTATAAAGCTATTAATTTGATCATATATACGCTTCAATATAGTAGAGCCTGTTTATTCTTTTAATCAATGAAACATCTGATTTTGACTTCAAAACAGCATATAGTGCTGTCCATATAGTTCTGTCTTACTTGACCTCCTCTCTCTCCTTTGGGTCCTATTGTGCCGACCTCTCCAGGCAAACCAGGCTCTCCCTGAGACAGAACAAGACACAAAGAGAAAGACAGTTGTGGCATGTGTCCTTCTGTCAAGGCTCTGTCTAGACTGATTTAAGTTTTACATTCCGCACCCGTTCACTAGGAGGTCCTCGTGGTCCTGGAGGGCCTTCGTCTCCCTGAGAGAGAGAAACTGGCATTGATGAAAAAACAAAATGGATTTCCAACCCAGATCTGAAATCACTAGCCCACGCTATGCTTCACCTTCGGTCCGGGTTTACCAGGGAAGCCGTCCTGTCCGGGTTCTCCTCTTTGGCCCTAAACAGAAATGCAAATTAATTCAAACAGACTGCAGTACAACAAAAAACACATATGAAAAGGTCAAAAACCAGATCTGGCCTTTAGATGGGTTTATAAATGATGAAGTTCACAGTTTGCCTCATTAAAACAGCTCTAACCTTCTCGCCGTCGTTTCCAGGGAAACCATCCAATCCATCTTTTCCTGGCAGGCCCTGAAAAATAATTACCATCGTTTCAAGTTTTTTACACTAAAATGAGTGTTGAGTTAACAGGGCAACAGACTATTTGAGTGTGTGGACAGTATGTTTGAGGTCTCAGGGTAAAATCTCACTGGTTTTCCTGGTTCTCCTGGTTTTCCTGAGAAGCCTATTTCACCAGGTAATCCCTGTGAGAACAAACAGATGAATTATATATCATCTGCTACTATTATGTGGCTCTAGTTCAGTTTGCAAATAAAAACAATTGAAAAAATGAATTATGTTGGTGAATGTAAACTTACTGGAGGTCCTGTTTGTCCAGGGCTGCCTAGAGGGCCAGAAGGCCCCTGAGGACCCTAAAAAAAAAACACAAAAATAAAAAACTGAAATGTTGAAATTTGACATTCAATTGCTTTTAATAGCTTCCTGTAATCAATGCATTCACGTTTTCTTTTTTTCAAAATTGTAACAATATTATGTTATCACTGTATTATATGATCACTGCATGTGATTCTACCAGAAACTTGTTCATTTTGTTAGTTAGAGTTCACTGTTACTCTAAGAGACTTTTTTCATTAAGATAATAATGTTAAGAATGTCATATAGCCATAATACTATTTTTGCATAGCATACTAATGCATGAAATAAGTAAAAGACCTACTATTTGTTAAAATATTTGTTGTTGCATTCTGCCTTAAAATACAGTATACGGTAAACAGTATGTTATTATTCCATTCCAAACATAAAAAAACACACTTGACAGGAAAAATAAAGGGCAAAGAGCTTGACTCAGACTAAGACTGAATGTTCTGGTGGTTCTTACAGGTGGTCCTGGAAGACCATCAACTCCTGGCAATCCTGCATCACCCTTTTTACCCTGGAGAAACAGAGAAGAGGATGTCTCATCAGTCTATGTTGGGTAAAAGTCATCAAATCAAGTAGATAAGGAATAAGGAGATATTTTATATAAAAACATTAATAAATAAATAAAAAATAATAATTACAAAATATATTTTTTATAGAATTCTGAAATTAATGCAATAATTTATAATTAAAATAAACAGATAATAAGAAATATGGAGTAACAAGATATTTTATAAAGTAAAATAAAATAAAACATATTTCTTTTTTTAATCGCTTGGTCTGATTGATAAGATAAGACTTTTTTTCTGATTTAAACTATACTTTTTATTTATCCATTTTTTTTACTATTGTTTTTGTTTTTAATCCAGATTTTACTTCAAGCAACTGATTTCACTTAGTGCACTTTAAAAAAAAATATATATATAAAATATATTAATATAAATATACACATGTAAATACATGTACATATTTTCAAAATATATGCTGTACAGTATGTGTGTCTTTATATATATATATATTTTTTTTTTTTTTTTCATAAAGTTAAACAGTCAAAACTACTATATTCATACTAGGAAAAAATGAATTCCATGTGAGAGGTCAGGTAGAGTTCATGATCTTTCTATCTGACATCTATTGTGACTCCACGAATGAAACCTTCCATCCATCAGAGGCACATAGAGGCACAATGGTTGCACTGCCCTCTGCTGGACAAACAGGAAATCACACATATGCTAATTTTGTTCTGTTCTATAGTCAATAGAAATTAAAAATATGTACTGTAAGCAACAATATTTAAGATCTTATGAGTGAAGATTTCTTTCCCATGTTTATATATTTCCAACAGAAACAGGATGCTGGGGCCAAACATATAAAGGGGGTTCATATTTTACATTATAAAAAAGCCAACAGCCTATTTTTATAATCACAGTCACAGACTATGATTTGCAACTTCCTATAGCATAGCTAGTTGGTTTTAGGGATATGTTCAATCCAGAGAACATTTGCATATACATAGGCTCAAAGCTTTTAGACGTTGACTAAATGCTATAAATATACAATTTTGTTTAAGAGTTTTAAGATGTGAAGAGCAATGGGGGATAAAATTCTCTCCCTCACATTTATGCTTGTTCAGGAAATTAAGTCACTGCACTGATGTGGTAGAACATGCTAACATTCCCTGCTTCTGGCACATAAGATAGGAAAGGTATTTTGAAGGCATTACAGTGATAAGAGATTAAAATATAGAGAGAGAGAGAGAGAGAGAGAGAGAGATTCTTTCATTTCATTTACAGTAGTTTGAGTTTTTCCATTTAGTATTTATATTTTATTTTAAATTTTAAATAGCATTAGTTAATGATAACAACACTATGCTAAACATCTTTTGTGGATCACAGAAAGAAGTAAGTCATATTGATTTGGTACAACATGAATGATGAATAAATAATGACAGAATTTTCATTTAAAAACTAAACTTTTTCTGTTTGCTTGATTCTTTCTTTTTAGAGCTGTTATTCAAATGCCATTATTATTTTTTGGCAAGAAACAATGTTTTCCAAGTATTCCGAGAACATTTTAATGATGCTGTCATCTCATCAGTTGGAGGGCATCTGAGAGCGTCAGGCCATTTGAACATCTTCCTAACGAGCTCCTCGCTTTAATCTGACCCCACAGAGCACTCAAAAACACCAGAACATGCACTGAAAGCCGCGCTTTCCAGCCAGTCTCTATGGTTACCACAGATCAGGTTCTAGAACATCTTAAATCTCCATTAAAAGCAGCCGAGATGGATTGTTTCAATAAAATACAAATGTCCTACCCTTTGTCCATTCTCACCCGACTCACCGGGCAAACCTGGAGGTCCAGGTGGGCCCTGAGGAAGCATAAACAATAAGCTAATTAAAAACAATGAAGTCCACAACAGTAGCAGACCCAGAAAATACGATGCTTCTTATTTTCATAAACAGACCGTAAATGTGATATTTTATGATGTACAGTGACCCCAAAAAGTATCTGGAGTTTGAGTTTAACTTTATTGTCCATTCTGTTCTAAATGTGTCATGTAAATCTAAAAATACATCCACATAAGTGCTTACACATTGCCACAAACACAGAATTGAACAGAATTACACTAACTACATCATTTCCAACCTATTAAAATAGCGCAATAATGCCAACCATTTTCTTAAATTGATTTACTTTAAAATTTGATGGGAGGAATGGATCAGGCAATCAGCTTTTTTTCAAAACTAACTTCACTTTTCTTCTTCAATGTGCATTTTTAAAACAAGCATTAAATGACAAAATATGTTTTACAGGAGGTCCAGGTGGGCCGTCCGCTCCCGAGGGTCCTCGTTCGCCAGGGACGCCCTGAAAACACAAACACACAGTTACGAGAATGCTCTACAAAAGCGAAGTTTAAGACTCATCTTCTCAACAGATTGCACACTTACAGTCTCCCCCTTGAGTCCTGCCAGCTGAACCTGAGGAAAAACACAGATGAAGCCATGAGCAACTCAATACTGCTATTTTACAACACGATTCATTCAATTAATGAATCAAACGTCTTACCGCATCACCAGGTAATCCAGCAGGACCTCGTTCACCCTATCAGCAAACACACAAAATAATGTTCTTTTTAGCAACGTCATATGACCCCTTTTATTAAACAGCGGCTGACAAGATTTACTGAGTAGTTAAAATCCCACAGTGATTTGATATTCTGGGTGGAGTTGAACCAGAGTGGAATTGTCTGTACTGTGAGTTACAACATCTGATAGAGTACTATTTGTCATTTCCTTTGGGAATGAGTTGCTGAAAGTGTGCGGGACAGAGAGCGAGAGATAAAATACAGACACAGACTGGTTGAATTTTTGAATGGGCGTCTTTGTGGATGAGCCTGAGAAATACAAATATGTGATACAAAACTATAATTTTCCAAGAAAGATATACTCTATGTGTTTTGAGGGTTTTGTGGGAAATATATCTGGGTGAACTATCAAGAAATACAAAAGGACTATGGGTTTGGAACAAACTGAGGGTGAATAAAAGACTTGCCCAGATCTTTCAAAGCCAAGCAACATGCGTCTCCAAAAAAGTGTCCCTATACCTTTTCTCCTTGTAATCCATTTGGACCAGGAGCACCAATCAGCCCCCTAGGACCCTGGATTTAGAGAAAATGAAAGAGAGAGAAGTCATTTAGGTAAAACGTATACTTACTTGACCTAAGCAAAACGTGACATAAGCTCACATTAATATCTTCTACATCCAGTGTACATACATGCTGCGCAAAACGGTACATGACAAATTATATACATTATAAAATGCTCTGAATACATACGTCTTTTCCTGGAAGACCTGGTTTCCCTGGAAACCCATCTAAACCTGGTTCACCCTATACAACATTTGAAAGTGAGACGTCATCAAATGGAAGATTTGCGTAATCAAAAGTGACAGTAGAGACATTTATAATATTACAAAAGATTTCCATCTTGAACTTTCTATTAATCAACAAATCCTGAAAAAAAGTATCACCGTTTCCACAGAAATATTAAGAATATTAATAACAAGAAATGTTTCTTATGCAGCAATCAGCACATTAGAAGGATTTCTGAAGGATCATGCGACATGCAATGATGCTGAAAATGCAGCTTTGCATCACAGGAATAAATTATATTAAATACTTTATAATATTACTATATTTTTGATCAAATAACTACAGCCTTTCTTTTAAAAACATTAAACAAATCTTATTGAGACCAAACTTATAAAAAGTACTAAATATGCAGTATTTAATTATGTGCTGTATTCTGCTTCCAAGGTTCATGAAATAAATGACTATTAGTTCAACACATATGCCTTTATGAGCACAATTAATTATTTTCATTGCAATAGTATGTCACAATCTCCATTTCTATTCCCTAATTTCTAATTGTATGTCCCATAGACAGCATACAGGTTTGGAATGATATCTTCATTTTTGAGGGGTAAACTACTCCTTTAATTTTTAATTCTGCACGTTTGTCTAGATAGGTGTTTTGTTTTTAATACAGAAAACAGCAGGAGGAAAGCGACTGAGGGGATGGGAATGTGACTGTAACATGACAAAACATGTGCAATATACACTATGCAGAGCCTGCTGTTTCAGGTCAGAAATTCAGGAAATATAACAGATGGTGAATGCGTCTGTATGATGTATTTATTTTGAATTCAAGGCCATTTGAGTTCAACTGAAAAACCATTCTCACAAAAGCATAATCTGATATTTCCTGTTCCAATGAACCGAGCACTGGTTCTAAAAATATATATCCATTTGCACTGAATTACCAGCATTCAAAAGTAATGCATCTTTGCCTAAACTAAGCTTATTTTCCATGCTAAAATATTTAATATAATAAAACAGCTGTAAATAGTTCTGAACTATTGTTTGTTTGAGCATCCCAACCAGCCAAATACAGCGATATCAACTCAACCAATAGCATGAGTTGGGGGCAGGACTATGTGTTTGCCAGCCAATGACAGACGGGGAGTGATGTGAAAATTCCATGCTAAAATATTTAATATAATAAAACAGCTGTAAATAGTTCTGAACTATTGTTTGTTTGAGCATCCCAACCAGCCAAATACAGCGATATCAACTCAACCAATGGCATGAGTTGGGGGCAGGACTATGTGTTTGCCAGCCAATGACAGACGGGGAGTGATGTGAAAACCTGTACCAAAACAATTTTTTTTTTTTTTTTCAGTTCCATTTTTTGACACTCGTGGCACAAATTTGCTCCATCTTTAACTTCTAAGTTAGTTTCAGGAAAGTCAAATTTGGCTTAAAAGCTCTCAGTGTGTGTGCGGGGGCGGACCGTCAGACAGACTGAAGAATGACGGCAACGCTCTACCGTGTGAAACTGTTCTTAGACCTGTCTGACTGCACAACGCCCCCACAGAACAGGATATATGGAGTCTGCATCAGCACTGTGACATCTGTTTGAGTTATTAGTCTGCCTGCGTTCACTCTGTAGAAATATTCCCTCTGTAGCATTTGGATCTGACAGGTATGTACAGTACTTCGTGACAATGACTAGTTTGGGCTCCGTCCAAGTTATTCCAAAGCATTAAAACTAAAACGGGGTGCTGAAAAGGGGAAGACAAGCAGGAACATTGTCCCAGGCCTTTTAGTGGGTGGAAGGGGGTCTGCAATGACAGACTAAACTAGATTTTTACATTTTCTGAAGACAAAGTGAGTGCTGTGCATGCAAAACCTCTGTGGCATGATTTTAGGAATCATTCACGTCTGTAGCACAAATGGTGCGGGACATGCCAACCTTTAATACTTAATACTAATACTAAGCCTAAGTAATGATATTTGTGGTAACAGTTGTTATGATTGACAGGTGCCAGTCATCCCTTACCCTTTCTCCGGAAGCTCCTTTGTCTCCTTTACCTCCAGTAACACCCTGATGAAAAACACGACACACTCAATATCTTACAAATGTCACAGAGAAGAACACTGGATGCACTACGATCTGCCCTGAACAGCTGTAACACAAAATTGTGGATGCAAAGTCTTGATTTCAATTTGTTTCTGATGTTGTAATTATCTATTGAAGCCAGTTTCAACCTCAAAAAATAAATAAGTAAAAACCAAACAAACAATAAAATACAAAATTCAATTAAAATTGAATAAAATAAAAAGGTTACTGTGAGGAAAAAAATAAATAAAATAAGAAATAAAGTCACAATGGGGAGATATAAAGATGCATTTAAGATAAATCATGTTGCAATTGTGAAATATAAAGTACCAGTTATTAATAAAGTCATAAGTAGATTTCTATTGCAATACTCTTGAGGTGGAAACAGGCTTTCATAATCATCGGTACATGGTTTAAACGCACAGATCATACTTACAGACACCCCTTGAGGACCCGGTGCTCCGAATGGACCAGCATCACCTTGGATACCCTAAATAAAAACAGGTCAAAAAAGCCAGATCATGTTAAAAACTACTAAGCACATCTAGCACCGTTCAGAAATTAGCATGTCACGAAAAAGTGATTAAAAAAGAGAAAATAATGGAAAGAAAATGCTGTCAACAGTAAATGTACAGTGGAGTGTTTATTGCATTATTTACAGCTGCTTCTAAATTTGATGTTATTATTGATGTTACTATTTTAGCATTTATCATCATAAACTCAATTAATATTAAGATATATCACATCTTCAATCATTTTTTAGGATGACAACAGCCTTTTTGGACTCAAAATGACAAAAAAATTCCCCTGAAATTAATTATCGGGGGCAAATATTGACAATTAGAACATGCACATTTCTGACACTAGTCTAATCAAGCATATCTTTACTCTTCAGTCTAAAGGAGGTCTCACCTTTGGTCCGAGAGGTCCAGGTAACCCAGCATCACCTGCAACTCCTTGATCACCCTGTTCATCAACATGCCAATGTCAATATCAAAATATACCTTCAACCACATGCAAATATACTTTCTGTCACTCACTCTCTCTCCTGTATCGCCTTTTTTCCCAGCCAGACCAGGTAAACCGTCCGATCCCTTAAAAAATTTAATAAATATTAATGTCACTTATAAACACATCTATAGAATCAAGAATGTTTAGACAAAATTGGACTAAAAAAGGGGGTAAAAAAAAATTTTTATTGTCGTTTTATTCAGTGTATACTTCACAGTATGAAGAAGTTGTTTATTTTATTTTCTGCTGATGTAATCAACACTGCATGGAATTACAGTTTTTCTCAATCGATTTGACACATGTCTCCAAACTCAGATCACTGTTCTCAAAACAGTTAACACAGTGATCTGAATACTTTGTAATTGTCCCAAACAGATTGTACGTTTTCATTCACTTTATACAAATTACAAATCATACAAATAATCTTCTCAAAACAATGTGCACAAAACTCTCAAATGTTTTCACAATAGTTGGTACAACCAACCAATACTTTAAAATATCTGAAAAAATGTTTTACACAAATCACAAACATTTATGTACTATTTGTCCAAACACAACAAACAAAACTCTGTAATTTGATCACAGGAATAAATTACATTTTAAAATATACCCAAATAGAAAACAGTTATTTAAAATTATTCAAAACATTACAGTTGTAAACGATATTACTGTTTTTACTTTGATTCTTTCAAAAGCCTTTTCTCTTACATTCCCTAAACCTTTGAATGGTAGTGCAAGTGAACTACAAATGCCATTTCATGTTGTTTGCATATACACAAGTGTGTCTTACTCTATCTCCTCTTTCTCCTCTGGCTCCAGGTTCACCGCGCTCGCCGATGTCCCCCTGTGGAGAGAGACGGGATTTCAGCATGGCTTTAAAACAAGATTTCATGACTTTGGACATGGCCACAAGTGGCCCCTGAAATGTGTCCAAAAGTGGCCAAATGTGTTCCTGTGAAAAATCTGACCTTAGAAACCATATTTTTAAAACAAGACCATCAAACCAGCCAACCAAAAACTCACTGTTTTTGCTTGAAATGATCATCAGACATCACCACGCAAAGAATCCCATACCATAAAGGCATATCAATTATGTAGAAAGGCTTGTGAGATCATAAAAAGACAAAAAGAGGCCAACACTACAGTTAGTAGGCTATAGTTTTCTTCTGTTCAATACAATTAATCACACACTAATGCTAAACACCACTAAGGAACCCTAAAGAAATCTTTGCCATTATATCTTGCCTTTCAGATATCTCGTGCACTTCAGGGAATCTCCTGGAATTCTGAGAGTTGAACAGTAAAAGAGAAAAGCTTTTGTGACCTGATTATAGTAATGACTTCACACGCAGCAGCGGGCAGCTTGATAGCCTGTAATTACTCTCAAACTTCTTCACACTTTGATAAAGTCAACGGATAACTGACAAATGCCATCAAGAGAAAGTAATACAACAAAATAACCACAATCTTGAGAGCTGCCAACCCAGACAGCATATTGTGGATGCATGATTTGTTTGATTTCAATTTGTTTCTAATGAAGTTATCTACTGATGCCAGTTTCCACCTCAGTGAAAAAAAGAGTAAAATGCCAGTACAATAATCAGTACAGTATATGCAACTGACTTAAATGAACAAGTCATAGACATCATAGATAAGCTATTGCATTATGCACTGCAGCAAACATTGTGCAAAGATAGCGGACAGTGTTGAGATGTTGATTACTTAAAGAAGCATTAAAATAGTTCTGTCATGACAACTCTCGGAGGGATTAGCATGGTAATGTACATGACAATGTTAATGTATTTGGTCTTGGCGGAATAGACCTGCTACGCTGCTGCGGCAGAGCAAGTACCGAGACTTGCTACTGCCAATACATCCACAACATACTGCTGTGAGCATGTAAGAAATATTGCTGCTGCAAATATAACATACATGAAATAACCCCCATATAGCATACATGAATCACCTCATAGCAGATCTATACAGGTGGAGCTGGGGAAGGTGGAGGGTTTCTGAAGCAAGCTGCAACCGCTATGGCAATGCACTAGTCATATATTTGAATGTTGAGCAGCGAGCTCATTGGCTACCGAAACAGAAAAGAACCAATCAGCTGTGCCATGTGATAATGATGTCATTAGGCCAGATTGAGTTAGACCTATCGGACTGCACCATCTAGAGTTTCATGCCAGAACTCTGTATTTTCAGTAAACACTGTATATTGTAACAATACTTTGCAAGATGTGGTAACATCTTTCTCCATGGGCAACATGGCTCAACATTTCAAAAGCACCTCAGCTTCAACACAAACATTTTAGTGTGAAAAGATTGACAAAATGACCACAAAACAGGGTTTAAGAGAGACGGACAGAGCAACACCTCAAACACAAACATGCGTTTGTGACATCATGCATTTTAACTAGCCAACTCCTCAATATGCTGCTAGCTAACTTTATACTGTACACATGGATAATTTGTGAGAACATAGACATGCATTCACATATACAGAATGAACACACATATACATATACGCATGGACACTCATGCAAATCATATGACATGTACACCGAGAAATACACACACAAGCAATTGAAAATCATGCATAAGAAAAAACTAAAGTTCTCTGAGGGGTTGCTTACTTTCCCAGGTAAGGTTCCTCCTTTGTTAAGTCTAGAGGATTTTTTTGCCTAATTTATTGTCTGGCATGTAAAAAAAAAAAAAAAAAATTTCTTAGTATTTTTGTCTTAAATCAAGATACAGTTACTTGAGAAGCAAAATGACTTGAGATATCAAGTACTGCTTCTGAAAAAAAATTCAACAAAATTAAGACAAAATACGATAACAGTGGGTTTAGGTTTAGAACAAACTAAAAATATCTGTAAGTGTGGTCACAAAAAATAATCATTTTCCGTTTAAATTTTTCTTAACCCACTAACAGACATGTTTTGCTTGTTTTAAGCATAAACTCACTTCAGTTCAATTTTTTTTTAGAAAATAAGACATAATAACTTTAGTTATTGTTATTGTGGTATTGTGTAAAGTTATTGTGCTTCGCAGCGCCTGAAAATAGGTTTATTGGCTTATTGGAAGTTACCTAGCTGGGGACTATTTTCAGGCGCTGCGTAATATCATAGCGCCTGCTGCACCCATGGTACGGCAGCAAAGTTCCTTGATTATTACGCCGGAATGAGTGGGGTATAGTTCCTAGCCATATCGGCCTAGAAAATCACAACTTTTCATTTTCCGTCGGTCTTAGTACACGGTCTTAGTACACGATGCAACTACAGAGAAGTCAAGTTTTAAATAGGAAAAATATAGAAACTGTTTGGTCATTTTTGAGCGAGATGCTAACGGTCTAATCAGATTCAATGATCTATGCTAAGCTACAGCTAAAAGTGCTACCACCAGACCCGGAGATCGGCTGAATGGATTCGAAAACGGTAAAACTCAACTGTTTAACTCTAGGGGAGTTGGAAAATGAGCCTATTTTCAAAAATAGAAGAGTGTTCCTTTAACCTGCTCAAGCACAGCATTTGCTGTTTTTAGGTCAGCAAATTCCACTGACCAATCCAGCATGCAACATTTTTCTAGCTGTGGGCGTTATCTGGCATCTAAATTTGGCCGAATAGTGACTGAGTGCAGTGGAAATCTCAAAATACGACTCCTTTCCAGAAGTCTTAACAGATTGTGAATCACCGTATTCATCATACGAGTGAAATATTACAATAAGCACAAGTAAATGTTTAAATAATGACAGTTGTCATTCTATTCCCAACACCACAGTTATCTAATTCTCCTGTATGAATCTCTGACTGATAGAGGTTAATTATGATATTATTCTGAGGTAATTATGCCCTGGAGTCAGCGGAGGATGTCTGTTTTAAGCGCTGTGAGTGAGTGTTTGGTGCACAGCCTCTGGTTTTGCATATCCTGTGAGGTTGGAAGACCCATAATTCTGCATTTCAAAATAAGGTACTTTTATTGTTTTTATCCTCAATAGAGTGGCAGTTTCCACAGTTTGTCTCTCTTTGTTCTTTTGTAATTCTAGACTTTGGATTCAAGGGAAGAACGACATTTTTGATGAATTGGCTTCTGGCTCGCACGAAACGACAGAAACACACACACGTGCACAAACAAACACACATACATTCACTGTTTTGTCTATCTTGAGGAGTTTGGCTGTTAAATTCATGACCTTACCTTCTCTCCTCTATCACCTTTGATAGAGATAGCCTGCAAATAATCAATCAACACCGATCAATTACTCTACAGGCCCAGAAAGACAGAAACAGCAGACACATTTCTAATATACAGCAATGTTGTTTTATGTTTATCTAAACAGAAGCAAAGCTATATGAAACTTTATAAGTGATAATATGGATGTCGTACACGCTCTCCTTTCTGCCCTTTGGGTCCTGGCGGTCCTTCTGCCCCTTTAAGACCAAGATCCCCCTGCAGATGCAGAGTTTTATGCAAAGAACCAATGAGGAACCCACTGAAAATGCATCCAGAGATGTGCAAAAGCGTAATAAAGTCATTGTGCGATGCTGTGATACTGAAACGTTATTTGACCTTTTCACCCTTGGGCCCCGCGACACCCGGTAGACCTGTCTCTCCCTGTAGGATGGGAAAGATTGAGAGAGATTGCAGAAGAGAGAGATGAGGGGATTCATTTTGAAAGACAGAGGTCAGAAATAAGAGTGTGTAAAGAATCAATGCATTGCAAAACGAAACAGAATGCATTACAAAAGAAAGTTTAGATAAAAAAATTGATATCCAGCCTTATAAATAAAAAAGTTAATAATAATAAATAAAAAAAAATCCATCAAAAGCATCTGAGACATACTGTTCATTAACACAGAAAATATTTTTGACTCAGTAAAGCAAACCAATATACTGAATGTCTACAATGTGCAAACATAATGCGCAGCCCATGAATTATATCCTCTTATAATTTATATTTAATGATGGCTTACATTAATTCTGCACAAACTATGTTATTTAAGCTGCTGAAATAATAGGTTCTAATTGTATTATTTAGTAATTCCTTATTTTTTGTATTATTAATATTTTATTTTGGAAAATTTTGCATAATAATTATACTATTTTATTAATTATCTTTATAAAATTGTATCACACTAGTCTAATGCTAACATGTTTATTTGTTGACGTTTTGTTGCTATAACAGTGAATTTTATTTATTCCAGTGCAATGACTTCCATTCCACCATTCCATAGGTGCATTAGGGCTGTCAAAAAAAATCGAATTTCGAATATTCGTCGAATTTAAAATAAAAATCCACATTCAAATGCAAAAAAGTTGCATTCGAATTGTAGGTGTGCGTTAAGCCTTATCAGTGGCGCACGAGATGCGATGACGATGTAAGTGTCATTGCATTTTAATGTTTTTGTTAGCCTATCCAGTTGAAGCCACTAGATGCGGCGCTGCTGCGTTGTTAATTACAAATATTGCGGGAAAAGAGAACATCAATGCGGAGAAGATGTTGTTTACGTCAAAACTGAAACCAAGCCATTCACACAGAACGCATATGTCTTGCATTTTCTAGAGGGACATCTATCACCGTTGCACTCGCATCTCGCACAAAAGAGTTGCATGTTTAGAAAGCCATGTAAAATTAATGCAAGTTCAACTTTGAAAAAACATATCTTGAGACTTTATGGCGGGGGGGTTTTCCCCATCCCATTGCAACTCGTGTTTTTGAATGAAAAATGTACTCTGTGTGATTGGCTTTCCGCCCTTTGTATTAATGCATGATGCTGTTTTGTTTATAGTTGTTTAAGTAACTTAATTAATTATAATTGGTTTATAAACATTATTTTAAACATTATGCACTTTTTTTTCACAGACATTCCTGTTATCTTAAGCTTTGAAGAAACGTGCATTAGTAATATTTTGCTTGATGCACCCTCTTGTGGCCTCAGAAGAGAATCCAAAAGCTTTTCTTCACCCTAACTGAAATTATGCATTTTAAATTTGAATATAATTCGAATTTTGATAATATTTAAGTAAACAATTCGAATTTAGTTTTTCAGCCATTTTGACAGCCCTAAGGTGCATTACTGTACATGTTTGCTTGTATTACAAAGTGAGGGATGAGCTGAAATTATTTTCTGTGGTAATTAATAACATGATCACAGATGGTGCTAACAGAACCCAAAAACGTATTTAATATTAACATGACCTAAATATCTCCAGCACATGACTTCAGAAAAAAAAATATATTTAGCTCATACACTGTAAATAACTTTGGTTCCTATATCATAAGGCTGATATTCAATTTTTTGCATGTTACACATAGGGGTTCACCAGCTTTAAGAGTGTGACCTTTGACCTGGAATGTCTTACCCTTTCCCCTGCAGGACAGGAGCAGTTGACCGCTGCTGGTTTCTTCTGCTCAGCGCTTGTTGGTTTTGGGGTGGGCAGTGGGAGTGGGGGGGGCTCAGTCACCAGAGACTGTTCACACTGAGTGAGAAGACAAAGTGAACGCAGAAACCGAAAGAGACAGAATGTGTTATGAAAGAAAGAGAGAGGAAAGGAAGAGGAAGCAGCTTCAGATGTTCAGTATTATGAATAGTACTATATTCTGAACTCTGGACAACGAATATTCCCCATCTTCATTAAGGACCCAAAACAAAGATCTTTGAGCCCTTTGGAGAACTTGTCCTGTTCGAAACCGTATGTTTTTGCCTTACTATCCATGTGATGACATAATGAGGTGAGAATAAAGGTTTGTATGCGAGTCAGATGCACTTACTGGGCCACCGGGAATATCGCAACACGTCTCTTGCTCAGACTGTTTGCCATCACAGTAGATCACCATCCTCTGGAGGTCAAACTATAGAAGAAACACGGGCAGAAACACAGGAACTGGTTGTATTAGCTGATTTCGGTTAACTTAAAAATTCATAAACGCATCACCATTAAAATATTTGGGGTTAGTCAGTATCTTTGATGTTTTTACCAAGCATATATTTTGAAAAATTATTCCAAATTTAATTAAAATATAAGTGCTCTCACATAAATCTCGCCTATCCTACAGGTTCCTATTATTAATACTGAATCCAGTTAATATTTTGTGGAAACCGTGATGCACTTTTTTTCCGGATTTTTTTAAATTAGAAAGTTGAAAAGAACAGCATTTATTTGAAATGTTAATTTAAAATATTATAAATTGTAAAAAAGTCTTTACTGTAATTTTTGATCAATTTAATGCAAAAAATCTTTCAAAAACATCCTACTGATGCAGTGTAACATCAAATCATAAATCACTTATTTAACCATATTTTTTTTAGAGATTACCATGATGGTATTCTCTGAAGTACCATGCAAATACTAAAATATATATGAACATGATAATCAATCAGTACCTTACTGTAGCATGGTATTATAATTTGATATCATCATGGTACAATTACAGCACTTTTAAGCAAGGGAGACTTAATCTTGTATAAAATGCATGTTAATAAACCATAACTATTTGCTTACATCAATGGGAACGCTGTCATAGAGTCTCTTGCCGATGACAGTCTTTCCCTGGATGTCGATATCTTCTCTTTCCTCTATGGGCAGCGTCTCAATGTGCTTGCAGTCCAGGAACAGGGACACAGACTTGGAGTCCACCCTCATGCCGATCTTATGCCAGTCACGGTCAAACAGATTCTCCACCTCTGGGTTCTTAAACACGGCCCGGACTGCATCCTTTGTCAGGCCCACGGCGTTGTACTCCACCGCCTTGTTCTCCCCGTCCAGACGGATGGAGACCTGGAGGACATTCTCATTACAGCCTGATCAACTTACAGTAGCTTTATGATGTTTTATGTTATAAACAAATTCAAAATCAAATCGATTTTAAAAATAGAACTTTTGAAGAGGATCTTCAGTTTCAGTTTCTCTATACAGCCCTGCTGTTTCAGCCCCATTCAGGACACATTGATACACACCTGTGGGATGCCGTATTTGTCATAGACCTGCCACAGGTACCAGTCTTCTTTACGAGAGGTCTTCCTGAACTTAAATGTGGTCACAAAGGCATACTCATCAGGCAGACCCTGAGGTAACACATCTCTACAACACAAGAATCAAAGAAATCTCTCATAAAAAATGAAAAGAAAAATAAATGTGTATCACCTTGAACAGTATATTGTCGGAAAACAAACAATGTAAATTAAGTAAAAGTACATAGTGTGATTTTTGCATATATCATTGAAATAAATGATTCTCTTACTCTGTTTGTTGGACGATGGGCATTGTACCGAGCCTGACATAGGGGGTCTGACCTGGCTCAAATTTTTCTCCAAGAAATTCTCTTACATTGAAGTACTCCATCAAATCAAATCCTGGAGAAAAGGTAATACATTTGTAATAAATTAAGCTATTATTAAGTAAACTGTACTGTTCCCTGAATAAAATATGTCCCTGTAGATTATTGTTGAAATGTCTTTCCATCAACGATCACTAGGTGGAGTCCATGAGACAGGTCAAAAAGACAACATGCTGTAAATGAACTTTCTTAAATCGTTCCTCAACCAAAGGATTTACTTTTATAAAAATTGATAATTAAGAATAAAATATCAGACAGTAATAAACCACAAAAGGCATATGTGCAATGACAGGTTCAACTTGATTTAGCACATTTCATACATGGAAGTATTTAAAAAATCCAAAAACACAGATACAGACATCAAGTTAATATTATATCACAAGTTAAAATACAAATTAACACAAAATAATGAGTGAAATGAATAAAGCAATCATAAATTACATGATAGATAGATAGATAGATAGATAGATGGATTAATGGATAGATAGATAGATAGATAGATAGATAGATAGATAGATATAACATTATTATAATACACTTAATTGACAATTATTATTTGATTATATTAAAATATTTTACCCCAAAATGCCACGACTCACCAATCAAAATCAAGTATCCCAAAAAGTAATGTAATACAGAAAGGGCAATAAATCTAAGTAAAGAACAAAATTACTGCATAATTAGTCACCTGTGATTTCAGCGTTAAGTTTCTGCGAGCAAAATGTCACACATTTTTCCACATCCACACAAAAAAGTCCACGCCTCTGGGATCAAACATGACTTCATTGTTTGTTTAAAAATAGTAGAGCTATGCTGTGTGTGTGGATATCAGCCCACTAATTAATGCTTCAGATCCGCAGCCAACACTCATTAAACTGCACTTGCTGCACCAGATGTTTTAAAAAACAACCTTTCATGTGCAATTATGTCACTAGTTCTCCAGCATGTGTGTGTGTGTGTGTGTGTGTATCTACTGAGGTTAGCAGTCTAGGGTGCTATTATAGCGGCCAAACCAGGGCGCTCCTATAACCAATACATAGTCTGTCGCCATGACGATGCCAGTGGGGCCCTGGGCGTTGCCTGAGGAGGCAATTCAAGGGTCGATTTGGAAACACACTAATGCTGGTCTCAAAAGAGCTCTGGCTACATGACGCTGATGGTTTGTGTATATGACGCCTGTGAGGGTCATGTAGAGAGATCTCACTTTCACTTGATGAACTCTCATGTTGTTTTCCTAGGGCAGGTGTGTTCATGTCAGCAAACTGAGGTTGTTTTAAACAGTCTAGAGAGAATGATTATTATTTGAACTGAAGGATGTTTGGAGTTGTTTAACTCGGTGGTAATGTGAGAACGTGCCAGTCTAGGCCAGACGGTGTGTGCGTGTCTGTGTCTGTAGTAGAGTAACAGGTGGTTACAAACGTAGAAAGCAGATACTGTGTTAAGAGCGAAGTCGAAAAAAACAGCATAAAACAACAAAAGCACTTTGTTGTTTCATCTTTGCGTTCCCAAAGCACAACGAATCCCTGATGGTTTCTGGCAGACCAGCATCACACATTCTCACGTCCCATCTGTGCTAGTTTTTAATTGACATCTTTGGCCGTTACAGTACATCTCAATGTTTTTGCGGTCTTTTGTGCCATTAACCCTGTTTCAAGTTAAAAATAGTTGAGGATTTTAAAACAATGGGCCAATTAGATGAGTCGATATTGAAACTGTTTACTCACCCTCATGTTTTTCCAAACCTGTATGACTTTAAAAGACAAAAGATGATGTATAGCATTACAAAAGTAGCTCATATGATTTATAAAGAAATTAAGAAATTATTTGCAAAAGTGTTGTTCTAAAATTGCTTTATCATTCACATGATGCTGCTGATCAATAATACAGTAAAAACAGTAATATAGTAGTATTGCAATTCAAAATAACAGTTTTCTATTTGAATATATTTTAAAATATCCTGTGGTGGCAAAGCTGAATTTTCATGAGCCATTACTACAGTCTTCAGTGTCACATGATCCTTCAGATATCATTTTAATACGCTGATTTTTTCTTTTTCTTTTTGGAACCTGTGATACTTTTTTCAAGATTATTTGAATAATTTAAAGTTAAAAGAACAGCATTCACTCAAAATAGAAATCTTTTGTAACAATTTAAGTCTTTAATATTACTTTTTACAAATTAACATCTATATATTAATTTCTTAAAAAAATAATAATAATATGCTCACACTTTTGTTACTAATTATTATTGTGTATATTTTTATTTTATTTAGAATAAATACTGTTCTTTAAAAAAAAAAAAAAAGATTTTATGCCAAACTAGAAGTAAATAAACTGCTATTTTTTTCGCGTTGTATTCGAAAAAGTCAGAAGGTTTGGAACTATTTTTTTTTTTTTTTACTTTAACATGCTATTAACTCAAGTGACCTCATTAAACTTTAATTTTTAGTTTCTGAACCTCTGAAAGTTTATCATCTTAAAAATAAGACTAATTTATCCAGGTGTTCTCCGTGCACTAGTATGGTTTGATCAGTTTGATGTATTCATTCGAGCTGTTTGATTTCACACCATGTTCTACTCTTCCTCCAGCTGTTCGCTTCTCATCAGCTCATTTCCACTACTCTCTGTTTGTCTCAGCGTCTCCATGGGCCAGGCACGACACTCTGCCGGTAGCGTTTCTAAGCCTGGAGGAACCTGTAATTTGGGCCTGGCGAGTGAAAGCGTATAATCACGACCGAGTCTTATTTTAAACGGTGAGAGAGCGAGGAAGGCTGGGTGGGTTCTGCGGGCCCGCACAGATGAGTGCGTTCCGACTCGTGTCTTTGATCCGAACACATGGACACTTCTGCACACAACGCAACAATCTGGAAACCAGCCCAATGTCGCCGCATGAAAACTCTACGGCTGCATTTTACACACGGTCACAGTGCGTCAGCGTGACAAACGTCTCTGTGGTTCAAGCGCCTGTCTTTGATCCAGACGCATGTGCTAAAAGGATCTCTTGGTGTTTTCCCTGCAGCATCTACCGGCATAAGATTTTTAAGATGCTGAAAAACAACGCATCTTAATTTTACGTTCTAATTCTTTGTACCCTATACCAGGTTTTGAAATGCGCCGATCTTTTGAAAATCTCCCGCTCAAAACGTGCTGCCTCACCATGCGCATGCGCAAAACCTATACCTCAAACAGCACTGTCAATGCCACTCATGAATTCGATCAAAAAATTTGTATATATCATGACGAGTGCACTCATATTACTATGAATGGAAGAATGTGCAACACACAGTATTGCGGAATATCTCCAAAGAAAAGCAGTGCGTCCAAAGTCGCATACTAAGTAGGTAGGATACTACAATTTGAAATTTGTACTTGCTGTGTAACCATTAAAAAGTATGTTTTATATAGTATGAACATGGGTACTTGGACATGCTACATCTGCCTTGTTGTTACTGTCACGTGACCTACCCGTATCAGTTGGGTCGCTTAGTAAAGAGTAAAGTGTAAAAATAGTAAAGTGTTTATCGAATGCACACTTCAAAATCTCGGCACAAGTAGTAGGTTGTCTGGTAGGTTGTCTCTTCACCTACTGTTTTTCGAATACTATGAATTCAGTCATACTACTCTTTTAGCGTACTGTTTTTCTCATACTACATTGTAGGGAGGTATTTTTCAGTGTCCCGAAACGTTCAGTGTCCCACGCTTGCGACTGCACATGCGCATTGGCTGGTCCTGAACTATATGCTTGTTTAATGCCATTTGAGCTTAAGAAACAACATTTATGAGATATTTCAAATTAGCAACAAAATCTAACATGAACTTTGTTTTTTTTAAATGTGAGCGTGGCAAGCATTTGTTTTAGATTAAACCCTTAATGGTTTAATCTAAAACAACGTCTTTAATTGATTTACGTCTTTAATTGATTTTTCCGTGCATTTCTGCCATATGTACATTAACTGACATAGTCACCACTGATAAGCTACTACTAAATATTGTAGAAACGTAATTTTCTGTAAAGTTGCTTTGCAACGATTTGTATCGTAATAAGCGCTATACAAATAAACTTGAATTGAATTTTAGATTTCAAGATTTCCCTATTCATGTACAGTAGATAAGACTTGGTCTTGAATACCCAAATTAGCTGCCTGAACACATTGCAAATATGGCCTCAGAGTGAACAGACTCTTCTTGAAAGGAACTTTGGTTCGACTCTCAGTAGGCATACAGGTGCATCTCAATAAATTAGAATGTCGTGGAAAAGTTCATTTATTTCAGATTTGTTGTGAATTGGTGGGTTTTTGTTAAATGTGAGCCAAAATCATCACAATTAAAAGAACCAAAGACTTAAACTACTTCAGTCTGTGTGCATTGAATTTATTTAATACACGAGTTTCACAATTTGAGTTGAATTACTGAAATAAATGAACTTTTCCACGACATTCTAATTTATTGAGATGCACCTGTATACCTAAAATGCAATAAGACACTTTTGATGAAGAATCTTTCAAATTTCAATGTAATGTTGAAAAGGTAGTAAGGACCACACATGGAAAACTTTAGTAAAACTCTGTGTTAAATTATATGAACCATGTAATTGAGTTAAAGGCATATTCACCCAAAAATAAACATTTTGTCATTAATTACTCACCCTCATGCCCCAAACCCGTAAAACCTTCGTTCATCTGCGAAACACAAATTAAAATATTTTTGATGAAATCCAAGAGCTTTCTGACCCTCCATAGACAGCAAGGGTCCTACCACGTTCAAGGCCCAGAAAGGTACCAAAAACATAGACAAAATAGTCCATGTGACATCAGTGGTTCAACTATATTTTTATGAAGATACAAGAATATTTTTTGTGCACAAAAAAATTTAATAAAATAAAGACTTTATTCAACATTTTTTTTCACCATCTTCTGCCATTATCGAGAGTACCACAATTATTTTGGACTGTTTTGTTGATGTTCTTGGTACCTCTCTGGGTCTTGAACGTGGTAGGACCCTTGCTGTCTATATGGAGGGTCAGGAAGCTCTCGGATTTCATCAAAAATATCTTAATTTGTGTTCCGAAGATGAACGAAGGTCTCACGGGTTTGGAACAACATGAAGGTGAGTATTTAATGACAGAATTTTCATTTTTTTTTGTGAACTATCCCATTAATACACTTACACTTAATTTCTTATAAGGACACAATGATGTCAAATTTCATTACAAATGCTTTTTGTCGTTATTAAGTTACTTTACAGAAGCAATCTTGTGTCAGCAACCTTTTATGTCCATTTTGGCCTTGCCTTGGTTAAGAGTGATGTTCCAAACTTCAGAAACAGCATGCAGATGTTGGCAGCTTCAGCAATTGTGACATCTTATGTGAACCTGGAATTTCCCTGAAGATTTAGCTTGTGTTGTTCTCTTGAATATCACAGATTGCAGGAGCAAGATGCCATAATTAACACTTACAGCCACCAAAAGAGGAGAGATGTAGTCTAGTCAGTGCAATCCAAAAGAACCGCAACCAAACAGATCTAAGCACTTAAACGTCAAGCCTGCGAAGCTGAAGATGACAGAAGCGAAGAAGAAAGTGCAGTGATCCACAAATAATGTTAAGACATGGAGAGATCACACTTTAAACTTCACCTGAATACCAAAGACAGCACTTTTCCTCATTATAAGTAGTATAATTAGAGTCAAACGGACCACATTTCAGAAACCTCCAGAAGTTTTACATTGTTTTGAAACAATGCATACATAAAAAATATAAAAATAAGAAAGAGTTATTTGTCTTTTTCAAAGCATAAATCATGAGTCGCCTCCATTTCCCAGGGTTGCAACTTCTCTGAGGATTTTTCAAGATAGATTCACACAGACAAAAGGGATCAGATTTGTACCTTTTGGGGTACAACAGCTTGTCACTGGAGCAGTACCCTTAAAATTACATATTTGTACCTTTTTTACCCATAGTAGGTACATATTAGTACCTTAAGCGTACGTATTACTTCTCTAAGATACTAATATGTACCTAATAGGGGTAAAAAAGGTACAAATATGTCCTTTTAAGGGTACTGCTTCAGTGAAAAGCTGCTGTTGTACCCCAAAAGGTACAATTTTGGCCACCCTTTTTTTCTGTGTACTGAGCAATTAAAACATGACCAAACCTCATCAGATTTACGAGTAATGGTTCTCTTGACCATTTTGTACATAGTAGTTCCAAAATAAGACCTTCTATAGAGCACACCCCTATAGCTCCAGATTGTATAGTCATTTACTTACACAGGTAAGAGCTCTCACTCTCTCTCTCTCTGTTTCGATCTGTTTTTTTACTTAGGTTGATGAATTTGAGTTGGTGTCTCGCAGAGGAACTCAGAACCCCCTGAAGACCCAAACACAACATCCTCCAGATCTGTGTAATCACTAAAGAACTCCACATTTCTTAGAACAGAGGAGGGCAAAAGATCTCTTATTTCGAAACCTCAGTGTCTCGCTGCAACGTTTTATGTTTTAAAGCGCAACCTTCGGGGAAAAGAAAGCTTTATTTTTGATCCAAAAGTACTTTACACATAGAAACTAGGCTTGTAGTTTGTGGTATTAATACTTACGTCCACACAAAAAAAGACTCCAAAAAACCCTGAAGTGCAGGATTGGAAGTCTATATGTTAGAATCATTATACAGTGCAGTTCTTTCTTTATTTTTGACCTCTAATTGAAATAAAATACACTAGGGATAATTTTCATGTAACTGTGTAACCTTGAGAAGAAGAAATGTTTTGGTTTTCTCACATCTGAAGATGAAACAGAAACACTGATGTAGCGGTATATTTAAGGATCTGAATCACTACAACTTGAGTTGTAGGCAATATTACTGTATCATCCATTATGTTTCATGTAAAAAGCCAATTTATAACAAATGGATTTAGTGACCAAAGTAAGCTCAAATTATAATTGAAACTACATTGTTTTTGCTATGAGAAATTGCTGTCTCGTAACTATTCATGACACCATGTAACCATTTTAAGATGCAAACAGTGCATTGATATGACGCTGAAGGGGTTTTCATGACACTTTGACACTAAAGCATTATGGGAAGAATAGAGAAGAGAAAACATTACCTGGGACCTCCGTCAGTCCAGCACTGGTGCTGTTCGGCCGGAAACGGCCGGCCTGGACTTTCATGTTTGGACAAAGGACATCTGTGGAGAGACACACAACATTATGGTTGGACATAACATTGGACACACACCTCAGTTTTTATGACCTTATCAACTGCACAGCACTCCTCCACAGGTGTTTGGATTATGGATAGCAATTTATTTCTACAGTTAGAAAAGTAATATTTTTAGTTCTATTTAAGTTAATATGATACATTTGGAGTTATTGCAATCTGTGCTTTATTAACAGTATGGGGTCTCCTGTAATTTCTAAACATCTGCTTTTGTGGAAACAGACCTCATCATTAATTCATATTGTGAAATGTAATTTTTTTGTTGACATTTTATTGTACTGGCTCCAGGTGCTCAGGCAATCCGCCGTGGTATTTTGGCAGTGACAAACCTTTTCACTCATAAATATGTAACATTTAAATGTTTTATATTAAGACTATAGGCATAATTAGAATGAAAATGTATTCAGATAGCGATGTGAAAAAACTACACTTGGCATGATTTTTTCTCCAATGAAGGCACTTCTTTTTCACATTGGAAAAAGAATAGCAAATGAGTTTCTTTAAAACAACTGTATACGTTTCTTACCTTCAAATATCAGCTTAACTGAAATCAACTGAATTCTACTAAAGTGAATGGCTTATTAGAAGACCTCTGTTCTGGTAGCACAGTATGTAAGTTTGGTGAGTATGAAATTCCGCGAATAGGGCGGATTGTTTTCCGGCAGCAACAAATTAACGTTTACAGATAGGCGCTATAATTACGACAGTGCGGTATTTACAGCAGGAAAATCCAGTCACTTAACTGTAGGGGGCTCCAAAATAACAAAAATGCACAAAACTACATAAATGTGCTTTAATATTTCAATATCTTGTTGTTAGACAGCAGAGTTTAAAAGACAAACTTATTATTGAGTTTCATAAGCTAGTGGATAGAAATAGAAAGTCAAATCAATTGGTTTTGTAAAAATATGATGTTCCTATTGACATTTATGACTTTTGATGACAGACTTTGGTATCTTGGGAAATATGCTCAAATTTGCCAAGATACCAAAGTCTGTCATCAAAAGTCATAAATGTCAATAGGAACATCATATTTTTACAAAACCAATTGATTTGACTTTCTATTTCTATCCACTCTTCCAAACCTGTATGAGTTTTTTTTTTTTCCCCCCGTTTTTTTTTAGCACAAAAGAACATTTCGAAGAATTTTTGTAACCAAACAGTGGACATATACACGTATACGTATAGTATACATATTAATAATATATACACACACTTAAGTTATCAAATTATATCTACATATCATGTTTTCAATATGAAAAAAATGGTCTCGTTTGAGTCAGTATTTATTATATCATCATAATTTACATTTCTGAGGAGTAAACATTCCTGACTTTGAAGAGGTATGATTTTACTGGCAGCTGAAGGAAATGAACAGTTGAGCGTGACTGTCACTGTAATATTATCCATCTTCCTCTCTGTGCTTGAAGACAGACTGTTAGAGGGTCAATTCCAAGCACTCCAGTGTAGACGTGGTGGCATAACTTATGACTCTAGGATGCTGGCACACAGACATGGGCAAAGTTACCAATTGGTCCAGTGAGCTTAGCGTTTGGTGGAGTGCTGCTATGCTAACGTCACAGCGGTGATAATTTAAGACGTACAAACAAGCAGATTTCAAATAGCGATGCATAGCTAGTGACAGCAGTGATGACAGGAGGAAACGCAACACCAGCAGACTTGCTTTACTACAGCATCTGTGATGAGAATGTGCTATTTGTAGAGAAGAACTTGCTAGTGCTAAGGAAGGATGCTAATATTAGCCTAGATACTAGATGAGTGCTTATTGCTTTTGTTTAGTTTTTGTCACTTTTATTGGGGAAAAAAAAGAGTACAGAAAATTATGTACAGGTGATCTGATTGGCAAACGTTGTGTGCCAGATCTGAATCACCCACGAGAACCATGTTATTTTTAATGGAACATAGTTTACTTTTAAATTAGTATATTAGTAAAAGTACATTTGTGACCCTGGACCACAAAACCAGTCATAAGGGTTAATTTCTCGAAATTGAGATGTTTACATCATCTGAAAGCTGAAAAAAATAAGCTTTCCATTGTTGTATGGTTTGTTAGGATAGGACGATATTTGGCAGAGATACAACTATTTGAATATCTGGAATCTGAGGGTGCAAAAAATCAAAATCAAAATACTGAGAAAATCGCCTTTAAAGTTGTCCAAATGAAGTTCTTAGCAATGCGTATTACTAATCAAAAATTAAGTTTTGATATATTTACGGTAGGAAATTTACAAAATATCTTCATGGAACATGATCTTTACTTAATATCCTAATGATTTTTGGCATAAAAGAAAAATCGATAATTTTGACCCATACAATGTTTTTTTTTTTGGCTATTGCTACAAATATACCCCAGCGAATTAAGACTGGTTTTGTGGTCCAGGGTCACATTTATGGTACTTTTTGGAATTTGACAGATGTGGATAATATGAACTGTTGCTGCATACGTTGAAAACATGGAAGCAAATCTACTTTTGCCTTTTCTCATAAATAAACAATACATACATAAATGTTTGAAAGGGCATGAAGGCAAGTAACAATAAAATTATTTTTATTTTTGACTGAACTATTCTGGACAGGCACAATGACACCAAGTGGTCAAACTTTGGTTTTAGGTTTTCAGGTGAAAAATTGCTTAACATTGGCTTCACCTATATTAACTCAGCCCATCCTGAAAATAGAGCAAGTGAGTGGGAATTAGTCTCGGATTAGAAACTGGTTATGAATATTTTGGAACATTCAAATTTAAAGTAGGCTAAATGATGTGTAAATGACGTTACAGCAATTAGGCCTACTCCAAGTTTCCCATTTCATCCTGAAAAGGCTAAATGGCTTTTCACTAGTAGAACAATGCACAAAAATCATACTATAAAACCAAAATATTCCATTGATTAAATGATTTTAATGTTGTTGTTTTTTGTTTTTTTTTAATCCTTCTCTTACTCTCCCACACATGCACACACTCTTGGCACGAAGCAGTCAGACGCCCAAACCACAGCGGCTGATCGTGCCCCTGACAATCATGTACGATCAGACCCTGTAATTTTCTTTAATCGCTCCTATAAAAAGCGCTTTGTAGCATTTAAGAGGCCTCAACTTCGCTACGAATTACACTTTACAGAGGCTGGGTCACTTGACACAATTACATCTCTGTCCGATACAGTGTCCTCAGCGTGACTCTCCCAAACCCCCACACCCCCGAGCGAGTCCCAGCCCGATGCAAACATCACCATGACCGCCAAAAAAATAAAGAACTCAGCCGCCCACCCAGGGATAAATAAAGGTTGGAGAAAAGAGCACCTGGCTGTCTATATTTGTGTTGTATCCGTTATGTGAGCCAAGTTATGTTACCAGTGCAGCGGATATCCACATGTCGTTGGCAGATTTACAATACCAAAAGTTTGGAAAGCAGTCTCTTATACTCAAGGTTGTGTTTATTGAATCAAAAATACAACAAAACTGTGATATTGTGAAATAATACTTCAATTTAAAATAAAACAATTATATTGGAAAGCAACTGTATAGCCTCTAGCGGCCAGTCGATGAATTGCAGTTTTAGTCACTTCCGTGTTGGTTCCATGAGAGAGACAGGAAGGTTGCCACTTGGTATTTATTTATCTTTTACCTTGAAATGTGTTACAGAAAATCTAATACGCTTTATTAGTTAATGGCTTCTGTTTCATTCCCAGGCTAGCAAGTTTGAGCGGGTATGAATTTCCGCGAATTTCAGTCTTCAGTGTCACATGATCCTTCAGAAATCATTCTAATATGCTGAGAAATTTAAGGTTTGTCTTTCTGTATTGCTTCAAACAGGTAATGTTGTTCCCTCAACTTTTCTAAAACACAAAAAGTAGGTTGCTAACTAATTACTACTAGTTCTTAGTCATGCCAGAAAACTAAACTAGTTGGTAGGCTATTAGAGTTAGCTGTAGAAGCAAAGTTAATGGTGTAGCCTACATTCAGACTGTGAGTGGAACTCGCGATTTATGAATGAATCATTTAGAATGGCTGTATCAGTGGATTCATTGAAGTGATCTGACTCAAATGATTCACAATTGAACTGTGCATTTAACCTCATAGTTTATTGGGGACTGACCCCACAATTAGCATGCTGCTAAATGACAAGTAACTAACAAATTGTGGTCATACATAACGGGTTGATTTTGAGACACCCATTTCCTTTGCCTGGTGAAATGAGAAAGCAATCTAAAGCCAGGAGTGCGTCATTGTTTAAATGAGTGATTTCTAACTGAACTCTATCAAGGGCAACTTCTTCAGCTGTGGCATAAAGGCTGTAATTTAGAGAGTGGCCATGATACTAAAATGATGGACTGAGCAGAACTTAGCCTTCAGATTGCTGCATTTCCACATTGTTTTTCCAAAGACTTTTTCATTTATTTTCTTGTTTGTCCCTTGCTTATTTCTTAAAGCACTTTATATCGTGATTGGATCACATAAAAATCATAGAGATGCTAAGGATAATCAGTTGGTAAAATGACTTTATCTGAATATAAATCATGTTGCACCTGCAAAGTGTTTCCAGATGCTGTTAGTTAATGATGTAATGAATGCAAACGCACAGGACAATTTGCACTATTTCATGTTAAGATTTTAGTCAGTTTATAAAAGATTATTTTAAAAGATCAGACATTATTCATGCTTAAAAGGGCCCAACTGGCAACGCCTGATCAATGAAATCAACAATTAATCACCTTGACATTTCAGGCTGGAGAATGATGCAACATTTTAGAAAGTGCTGTGTCATATAGAGGACTTTGTAAAACTATTACCAACTGTATATTTGCGCTAACTTAAAGTACTCAAATAACCAGTAAGAAAACAAAACACTCTAGCAACCACATAGCAACACATTTAAAACCATTCAGAATGCCAGTATCGGCAACTGAAACACCTCACATCCAAGTTTTCTTGGATGCACTAGGCATACAGAAACAATCCCATTTCATTATTGTGTCCAACACAAAATATTCATATTCGTGGATAGCATAACTGAATCCTCCAGGCAAGTATGCGAGCTATCCTCAGAGACACAAGAAGGGAAAGGGCTTAATAAAATTTTTTCTCTCCTGTTTGAAATGCCCATTAAGTTAATCAAAACCAGATTTAGGATGCTAAAGCAAACATGAGGAAATTAGCACACCCAACACTATTACAGTGCACTGCTGTTCTGTTTAGCAGCGTCCCACCACTGATTACAGATCTGGCATGCTGTGGCCATGGGTGGACCACCGACATGAACCAAAGCCCAGATACACTAAGTGATGAAACTACCCAGTCAAACACACACTTTTCATTCATTTCAAGTATGATAAAAAATGGCCCAGTGAAAGAACAATAAGGACTTTAATGCAAATGTTTGTATTATAGCATTATTTTTATGATATTTTGTCATTACTGTAACATCCTGGTCAAAAACTATTTATTTATTTAAAAAATTCAAATTTTGTACAAAAACTTACAATTTAAATGGATAAAAATAAAATGTATTTGAATCATGTATGCCAAGCCAATAATAATAATAAGAGAAAAATTAATCCCATCCCAAGTTAGAAACAATGCATTATGGGTAATCATTTAAAAAAAAATTTAATGATACTAATTGCGCTCCTTAAAGAGGCAATGATTTTGATCTTTTCACATAAAACAAATTAAAGCCAAAGATTAAAAAGTAAAAACAGTACTGTGGAGCCCTGTTCCACTTGAAACATTAGGACTGTAATTTTCATGGCAAAAAATAACTTGGACCTTAGAGATGCCATGTTTTCTAGCCACCAGTGTTCTTAGACGCCAATGCTAGTGCCAAATGATCTTGGTTATAACAGAACTGGACCTGATATGCAGTTTCAGCCTTTCTAAATGCTTGAAGGATAATCCCTGATGGGACAACAAAGTCCATAGCTGGCAGTGAGATCGTCAAGTTGATCTGCACACTGAGTCATGTATGTGGTTAGAGCCATTCAGAAGAGGGCTTTTGGTTGGAATCAGGGCAGGGTCAAGGTTTGGGTTTACAATGAATCAGTTTATCTCTTTCTCTTTTATCTCACCATCACCCTGCCAAGTCAAAGTGGTTCCCTATCTTCTCACAAGATTGTCTGACCTAAATAAGGCATCGGAAAAGGCTTGTGTTACAACCTCTTCAAATACCAATGATTGTTTAAAGAGTGTGCTTTCAACAAAATGTGTCATGTTTTAATACTAATTTTACCACACAAGAGTTTTTGGATAGCTTTAGTGCTACTACGGACTCAGATTTCCACTTCAAACTAAAGAGCTCCAGGTGTCGTCGTTCTCCCACTCTCACTAATTTTAGTGAGGAATGTCAAGTCTGGTGTGCTAAGCATCCATCAGCACTAAAAACATACTATGCGTACACATAATTTCCATTTGGACGATCAATACAGGCCACATACCTCAACGGTTTGGGTTTATGTATTTTTGAATCTATATTCATAGTTTTAATGCAAGCTTGTTGTTTGTAATGGCCTCCAAAGACTATCCCACATGTACTTTAGGTTATCTTTGCCTGCGGAGCAGATGTGATCTGGAAAAGCACTTGAGCTCTCTTGTACTTACTACACCTCTTTACTCAGAGCTCACCGAGACAAGAAACCACAAAAATGTCCGGGCCAAAGAGCTTCCAGTTCCTGTCCAACAAGTCTTGTATGGCACAGAACAGACCTTCTTGTGAATGGAAATGTGTGCCAACAAAAGCAGATTAAATGACTGATGTTTTTAGTTAACTGTCAAGTCAATTACATGTTATGTCAACTCCCACCTATATCTGACTGTGTAACGGAAGTCCTCTCTAAAGTTTTTTTATTGGCATCTACAGTTCAGTCAAGAACAGGCAGGGTGACCAGTCCTGCTCCTGGAGGGCCAAGTTTAACGCCAACACACTTGCCTGGACGTTTCTAGCAAGTCTGAAGACCTTGATTAGCTGGTTCAGTTGTGTTTAATTAGGGTTGGAGTTAAACTCTGCAGGTCAGTGACCCTCCAGGAACAGGTTTGGACACCCCTGATCAAGAACCTTTCTACTGCACAAAAGTTAAATTGTAGTGGAAAAAGTTTCTTTAGATTATCAAAATGTTATTCACACTAATAAATGGTTCTTTTAAGAACTGTTCACTTAAAGGTTCTTTGGAGAACCCAAAATAGTTCTTCCCAGGCAGGATGGGCAACTTTGGCCCACTTTCCTGAAGAGCCTAACTCTAGCTGTAATAAAACACACCTGAACCAGGTAATCAAAGTCTTCAGGTTTACAAGAAAGCTATAGGCAGGTGAGTTTGATCAGGGTTGGAGCTAAAATGGATCTTGAGGACCAGAATTTTCCAGGCTTGTTCTATGGCAGGGGTCTCCAATCCTGGTACTTGAAGGCCAACGTCTTGCAGAGTTTAGCTTCAACCAGCTCCAACACACTTGCCCGGAAGTTTCTAGTGAGTCTGAAGACCTTAGCTGGTTCAGGTGTGTTCTATTAAGGCTGGAGCTAAACTCTGCAGGTCAGTGGCTCTCCAGGAACAGGTTTGGACACCTGTTCAATTGCATTGCTGTGAAAACCCCTTTTTGGAACCTTTATTTTATTTTTAAGAATGTACATGGTGCAAAATCAAACTCATCAATACTCACTCTCGCAGAGTCTCCTCCTCAACCTGCCCCTGATCTTGTCAATGGCGTCAAAGTCCGTCACATGGAACATATGAGCACTTTTGGGTTCTGCCGCAATCTCCTCCAGCTCCTCTCTCAGTGCTTCCCCAATCCCTACGGCGAACAACCTGATACCAGCAGCCGCTGCTGCAATTGATGGTTCTAAAACAAAATCCTGACTCCTGCCATCCGTTAGTAAGATTGCCACTTTTTGAATGCCCTTACTGGCAGGCCTCGCCCCTGCCCTTTCTGTGAAGATGTTGTTGGTAGTAAAGCTGATGGCATCTCCAGTTTTGGTGTTCCCACCCAGGTAGCGGATGTTCCCAGCAGCACGCTTGACCTCTCCGAGGGTTTTGTACCTGCCCAGGTTGAATTCGGTGGTAGGACGGTCGCTGTAACGAACCACAGCTACACGCGTCTTCTCCGCACCTACGTCAAAAGATTCCACCAGGTTTGCCACCCACTGCCGGATCTTCTCAAAGTTGTCCTTGCCCACACTGGAAGAGGTGTCCAAAATGAATACCAGATCATAGTGGACGTTCTTGCAACCTGGGACAAAGGACATGAAATTTTACAGACTGTGTGTATACAGTTTAGCCACAGATTTATGAGGTTTGTGTTTCCGCCATGGTCCGGTTGGATAATACATGGGCTGAATTTTGCAAAGAACTCGAAGCTACTAGTATGTCAGGTTCAAAACCTCAGTCTGCACACATTACAACAGACTCACTGAAAGTCAAAATTAGAACCACCAAGCTAAAGTTAAACAGATATGTGGTTAGGGGTCATGAAAACTGTATATTTAGGCTAGGATGTGACCTCACCTGCCCTTTGTCCTTCAACACCGCCTCCGTACAGAGTCAGAGCCAGTATGGTTAGGACCAAAGAGATCCTGAGCCCAAATCGAAACTTCATCTCCTTCTCCGCTGTTGTTTGCTGATATTCCCGCTAAGGTGCGATGATCATCAACTTGTTGCTCCTGTGGAGACATGAGAACAAATGTGAGGTGATCAGTCATTTGGACTCTGAACTGAGTTACATTGAACGATTGCAAACAGAAGTGGAGTGTATGATTCATGTTAGCTCTGCACTGACTGATGTACTGCCAGTGCAGCCCATTAATCCTGATTTGTACTTTCCAAGTTGCCATTTTAGTTTGAGCTGACAACAAGATGAGCCATGCTCATAAAAACAGTATGTAAGTGAATGCAGGGCTATTTACCATTATAAGCTTTAGACTAAATCATTGTTTTTCATGACCTTTAAACACACCACTCTCCACAATACTTTAAATAATATAAAATCACTTTTTTTTTTTTATATACTACAATCTTAAATAAATATATCAATATAATAAATAAATTAAGATTTTTTTAACATAAAAACAAACAAAAAATAATACATTAATTATACATTTCTACTCATTTTAATGATTATAATTTTATATAATTATATGTATAATTTTATATAATTATATCATATAATTTTAATCTTATTTTTGGTATGAAGTGTGACCTATGTATGTTTCCATGAGATTCATCCTTCATCCATATGTGTGATGGAGACCTCTGGAAATGTAGTGCATGGTGAAGAAATAATGCTTGTTTTCTGTTAGACATATACATTAGCAAAAGTTCTAGCATGCACGTGATATGTATTTAATATGTATTTAGGAAAAATGCATAATATTATAAATAACACATCATGAAATGCAGGTCTCCATCAGCAAACCAGAGTAACAGAAAGAAAAATCTGAGAAAGTTTTACGTCCAAGCGTAATTCATTCCCCCATTCACTTAACTATACATTCCACCACTGGTGACTAAGCACACTCCTCTGGCTAAGCTGAACTGATGTTTCGGTGTAAATAGGGTGTTCTTCTGATTTAGTGGTGTATAGTACGCCCCAGGGAGCACACTATCATCAGGGACCGAGGGAGCAACTTTGGGAAGCACTGAATTATGGTTTGCAGAGCCTTGATGATGTGGCATCTCATCCTCACAGGCAGTTTCATCTAAGCTGTCTAACTTTCAGGTGAATAAAATTAACATTCTTTTTGCAAAACCTTCATCAAGGACAATAGAGCGAACTGGTACTCTGATGCCTTGTAAAAATTGATTCAGTTAGTGAGTTAAAAGTCCTCCTCGTGTCTTTCCAGTACTAGTTGATGCATTTAGAAATGAAAAACTGCCCATTTTTGAATCTGTCAGGCCAATAGGAAAACAGTCCTGTTCTTCGTGAACTGCCGGCCTGACGCCTCCTTTCACACAATTCAGTGTCTTTTCTTTGTTGCTTTCAATAACTCATTCCTCTCCCTCCTTTTTTCATGAAGGTTTGCATTATCATCATATGACCCAGAAAGCCTTGCTTGCTCATTGCTTTTGGTCTTAGAAGCCCACAGTATCTCTCAGCACGATGAGCTCTTTGAACCCTCTGACCAGAGCAGGTCTTCTTATGTTTCTTTGATGCTGTGAAAGTATCCCGCATTCATTTAACTACTGTCCCAAAGTATAACCAGAGCATTTATATATTTGCAGTAAACAACATTTATGTTTTGTGGAAAGAAACAGTCACCCATAACCTCCTTTCATTCAGATGTGGTATACCAGCTGATATATGGACATCAAATTTCAGAGTTGCAAAGGCTTCTGTTTTCTTACAGTCAGTTCAGAAGTCCAAAGTATTAAAGGGCACATTGTTTTACCAGCCCTCTGGTTAAGTTATTAGCCTAAATTTGCTTGCTGCTTTCTAAAACTAATAGACCCACACTTGGTTAAAAAGAGATGAAAATAACAAAATTATTTTCATAACTAAAATGAAATGTTTGTAGGAGTGAACACCCATTTCTGTTTTTAGCCCTTCTGTTCACTGCTACAAATGTTGGTTAAAACACATTTTAGAGTACACGTTATATGGTCAATGTCCAGAAAGAACCTGGGGTTAAAGGCCTGGGTAAACTTGTTTTTCCACGTTCCACTCCGTCTCGCGCTCATTTGTGTCTGCACAGCTTTCAAAGTATACTCAAATGCGAATGAGCACAGATAGATGAGTTTGACACATGCACAACACAGTTGCTTTTTTATACTCTTCCAGAAGCAATTATATTCTAACCTAGTCCATGAAGACACAAAAATTAGGCTGAATGTGTAAAGTGGGCACGGACATCCACGGACCTTTAGGCACAAAGGTCATGGTCACATACAGCCGTCTGTTTACCAGCCCTAAAGTCTAAAAATAAAGGCTCTTAATAGGCATCTATGGCTCCATGATGAAACTTTAACATCCATGGAACCTTTCCATAACCCCAAAAGGTTCTTTATTGTGGAAAAAGGTTCTTTCTCTTTGGGTTATTAAAATGTTCTTCAATCTTCAGTCTTTAACTAATCTGTGATCATTTGGTTACCAGCCCTTTGAACTACCATCTTTTATTTACCTGCCTGACAACCTACAATTATTTACTTTACCAGTCCTACAACCTTTGGATTACCAGTCCCACGGCCTATAACCTTTCGATTACCAGCTCCAAAACATATTGTTTATCTTCCCTGCAGCCTACAATCATTTGGTTACCAGGCCTATTACCTGATTTCTATTCAGTGACCACCTTACAACATTTTAGTTACTAGGAATACAGAATAACATACTGTATTTGGTTTACCTGCTCTATTACTGGTTTCCAGCTTTATGACCTGCATTCTTTTCATCGGCCAATTTACAACTTTTAGTTACTAGATGTACAGTATAACATACTATTGTTCTGGTTTACCAGCTCTATAACCTACAATATTTTGGTCACCAGCTGACCTGCATTCTCTTCATCAGCGAACTTACAACTTTTAGTTACTAGATATACGGTATAACATACAGTACTGTTTTTGTTTTACCATCTCAATAACTTATAGTCGTTTGGTTACCAGCTCTATAACCTGCTTTTCTTCAACCACCTTTTAGTTATTAGATGTACAGTATAATATACTATTTTTTATTTATCAGCTCTATAGCCTACAATATTTTGGTCACCAACCCAACTGACTGACCTACTTACCGCTGTCATTTCATTATTGATCAATTTGCAATTTTCACAACCATCAAAAGTCAGTTTTTAAAAAATTTTGTCATTTCCAGGTACATTTCTAGTTTTGAGTCTCTGAAACCTTTCAGTGCATCTATCTCCACTAACACTCCGGCTAAACTCCAAATCTCTGCTGAACGACCAGCATGGGAGCAACCTGCAGATGAATAAACCAGAAAGCTTCACTCTTCCCCTTCTGAAATGTAAAAACCAGTTTTTCGTTTTTCTAAAGTTCTCCAAAAAAGTGGAAGAACAAAGAAAGCACTAGTTGAAGACCAGACTGAGCTATCAAGACATGATGGATAAATATTCTAGCATAAAATATCAACAATTAAACACTATAACAGAGACATGTGTACTGATGGGATATGCATGATAAAGCTCACTCTTACCTGTGATGTCAATTCGTGGGAACAAGAAGATCTTCTTCAACCTCCTCTTGAAACACACCTCACAGACACCTGAAGTATCAAAGCAGCATCCTCCTTGAAATAAAGCTCCAGGTAAGGTCACACACAGGTGTGATGACACACACATACAGTAATCCTGCAGTGAGGAGCAGAGTGTTGTGGAGTCTGCTCTCCTCTGCTGGGAGGTGGGAGGGATGAGGAACTGTTCCTGTAAGTGTTGGGTTTCAGTGGGGACGAGATGGCTGCCCTGCCCTGCTCATGCACATAAAATAGGGCTCTGACAGACTGCGCCAATTATAGAGCAACTTTCCGGGATATTTTCGTCACTTTCTTTCTCTTCGTCTTTCTTTTTCTCTCACTCCCGTTCCTTCACTCTCTCCCTCTTGTCTCCATGGCTTTAGTCTTTCCAGGCCAGGCTGAGCCGACCACAGGTTGCCAATGGGGCTGGTAGGTGACTGCTAGCCACAACATTTGTGTTCACTATATGAAGTGGTGTGTCAAATGACTGAATAAACAATTTTCTGTTTTGCAAAGTTGAAAAATTAAGATAATATGTGTACATGCTCCAGGGTTGTGAAACATTCAGAATTAAAGAATTGGCCTTAATTGTTTCAGAAGAATTTCATACTGGTTTGGAACAACATGAGGCCAAGTAAATGATGACAATTGTCATTAAAGGGGTGAACTATCCCTTTAACTATTTTAGTTTTTCAGTTGTTGTTTTTTTTTCACTTGATTTAAACCCCACATTTACAAAAGAACAAACACACAATTACAAACATCCATTCTGGTTTAAGAGGGGAAAAAACATTTTTAAGACAGAATAGTCTAAGCAGAAGTCATAATTGAATTCAAACATTGCAGCCATATAACCCTGCAGCCCAAGACTGGTTGCCTACTGAAGCTAAGCAGGGTTGAGCCTGGTCAGTACCTGGATGGGAGACCTCCTGGGAAAACTAGGTTGCTGCTGGAAGAGGTGTTAGTGAGGCCAGCAGAGGGTGCTCACCCTGTGGTCTGTGTGGGTCCTAACGTCCCAGTGTAGTGATGGGGACACTATACTGTCAAAAAGCACCGTCTTTCAGATGAGACGTTAAACCGAGGTCCTGACTTTTTGTGTACACCCCTACACTTTTTCACTTTGAAAAAGTGTAGGGGTGTAACCCTGGCATCCTGGCCAAATTCGCCCATTGGTCTCTGACCATCTTGGCCTCCTATCTATCCCCATATCTACTGATTGGCTTCATCGCTCTGTCTCTCCACCAGTAAGCTGGTGTGTGGTGGGCGTTCTAGTGCAATATGGCTGCCGTCGTATCATCCAGGTGGATGCTGCACACTGGTGGTGGTTGAGCAGATTCCCCCCTTCTATGTAAAGCACTTTGAGTGCCCAGAAAAGCGCTATATAAATGTAAGGAATTATTATTATTAATATTATTATTATTATTATTATTAAACATTCCAAAACCTGTACTGGGTTTAAGATATCCAGTCCAATAACTAAATTAAAATGCAAATTAGAAAACATTTACTGTACCTGGTTCAAGACACCCAAAACCATGGATGGATGGATGGATACAGACAGACAGATATAAAGAAAGAATGACAGATGCATGGATGTATACAATCGATAGAATAACAGACAGACAGCTACATAGAATGATAGAACGTCAGGTGGATGGATGGATGGATGGATACAGTAAATAGAAGGACAGACAGACAGACAGATAGATAGAACGATAGAACGACAGGTGGATGGATGGCTGGATGGATGGATACAGCAGATAGAAAGACAGACAGACTGACAGATAGAAAGAATGATAGAATGACAGGTGGATGGATGGATGGATGTATGGATACAGTAGACAGAACAATAGACAGACAGATTGATAGACAGAACAATAGAACGACAGATGGATGGATGGATGGATGGTTGGATAGATACAGTAGACAGAACAATAGACAGACAGATTGATAGACAGAACAATAGAACGACAGATGGATGGATGGATGGATGGATGGATGGATGGATACAGTAGACAGAACAATAGACAGACAGATTGATAGACAGAACAATGGACAGATGGACAAACAGACAGACAAATTAAATATTAGGAAACTAAATAGAAGGAAACTTACTCCAGAATGTGTGTCCTTGTTCAAATTGTACTAATCTCTTTAAACACAAGAATTAACTAAATGTCAAAGTATTAGTGGAGTTAATCTCTCAGAGTAAACTCAATTAAAAATAACTTTTCCTACCTTAAAAGATTATTGTGTTAACTACACTGAGCTCATGTCAGCATGCAGGACTTCTCTGTTTTTTTTTTTTTTTTTAAGTTTTAGTTTTTCCTGTCTGACCGTCTTGTTCTTTGAGGCTGAACATGCCAGATATCCTGTGTTGCATGGTGTGTCTCTGAAGACCCTTGCTTTCTCTCTTTCCATCTTCCTCCTGTCTTACTTTTCAAGTCTCATCTGGATGTCTCACCGCAGAGTACTTTCACAGACATCGGACACACATGAAATCTCACAAACACGCACTTTCCAAACTCCCTAAATCCCATCTTTATGCTCAGTAAAACATATCAACAACCGAGTCACACAGCAAGAAACATCAGACAATAAAATCATGCAGGAAAGTAACTGCTTCGTCTCGTTGAAAGGAAACAAGATCTATTTCCATCCTCTACCTTTGTAAGGGATCTCACTGGAGGTCACACTAACTTTAGCACAGGGCAAAGTCCAGCAGAGGACAACTGATGGGTCGGCACAGATGCAGATCTACAAGAGTGACCAAGGAGGTGAAGTGCTTGGAGCTCAAAAGGGGAGACATGTAAGAATATAAAGGTCATTCAGATATGAAGATTTCATTATGGAAATATTAAATTACAGCTTACAAAAGAATTGTGGAAAGAAGGCTTTTGCATTTGTTGCCTGTTACTTTAACATACAACAAAAAATTAGTAACTGTAGTGTCTCTATATCAGGGGTCAACAATGGTGTTCTTGTTTGATTAGATAGATAGATAGATAGATAGATAGAAAGTGGTTTAATAAACAGTAATCCATATCTCTATCCCATGGTTTAATAAACAGTGATCCATATCTCTATCCCATAATCCATGACCAAAAATCACCAGCTAGTGTTTTTTTAGGGTGGCATTTTTAGTAATTTTGGTCTCCAAAGAGAAGAGCGATTTATTTACATCTTAAACTTTGAATGTGTCAGACACAGCAACATTTCATTGATTTATGTAAAAAAGGAAAAGAAACAGTGATCTTTTACATTTTTATTGGCTGCCGTGAACAGTATTGACCAATTCTGTGCTTAGCCTGTCAATGTGGACATTCTATTTGTATCTAGTTTGCAACAACAAAAACATTTCTATTATTGTAGCATTGTAGCTAGAACATTACTAGACTTTATAATCCGTCTCACTGGAACTAATTGTGTATAATGATTAAGCTCCATCTTTCTCTTTGCTAAAATATATTTATCATAAATTATACTAATATTTTAAGGCAAGATACCACAGGTGAATAGGGTAACTAACAGTTATAATCACCGCTCCCCAGTTAATTAATCACAGTACTTAAAGAAATTACATTTTGTACAACAACTTTTCTGAAATTATGCGTTTAAATATGTAAATGGGGCATTATTTAATTAAAAATGCACTAATAAGCATACATTTCCATAACCAAAATCTGAACATTCTGGCTCAGTGCATTAGAATTTTTTTTTTCCTTAAAGAGATGTACTGTAATTTAAATCTACAGTCACAAATAAATAAACTGAATACATAAAATAAACACTTAATTGTGTATTTTGGACGTTTTCTTAACACTAGTTTATAAGAAGATAAGGTTTTATTTAGTTAGTTAGTTAGTTAGTTAGTTAGTAGTGTAACATTTTTTATGTAAATGTCCTGATTCCCCTGTCTGGGTTTATTTTATTATAATCAGAACATAATCCCTTAGGCCTATATACCAATATTCGGATCAGGAATGTTGTGCTGTTTTCGACATTACTGCGGGCTTCAACTGAGCTGTTTTCCCATCTAAACCCAAGAGGGAAAATCCTCTGTAAACATGACTCTATTGCCATGTTCAAGTCTCTAACCCCAACACCACGTGCTGCACTTCCTCTTCAGGTCAAAGAGTCAGAGTACGGCTTCCTGAATGTCATTAACAGCCATCCTTCTCCTGACATTACCCACTGCCTCAGTCCCGCGGGTTTCTCCACGATGTCTTTTCCAGCACATGGCTGGTGTCTCGGAGGGCCTTCTGGGCAGTGCCCTGACCCTTGGCAGGGCAGGCTGGGGCCAGTTTGCTCTCATCAGCAGATAATCCACCTGTTGATGAGCTGGATTTGCTTTGATCCTCCTCCAGCCGCTGGGTTCTTCGCAGTCTTAGACGCCTCTTGACTGCATCCTGGCTCTTAGCGGGAGTGGCTGATTGGCTGTTGCCGTGCTCTGATTGGCAGACATTCTCGGGAGCAGGTGTTGAGCGGACGGTAGAATTACCTTCCGTCTGCCCCGCCTCCTTCCCTGCTGGCCTATCAGAAACAAGTTTGACTTGATTGACAGGTAGCAGTGGTTTGTGTGGCTCTGTGATGGTACTCAGCGGGGAGCGTTCTGGCGACTTGTCTGGGCCGTCCCACCAACAAACTTTGGCCTTTCTCGGATACGTCTCTTTGACCTCCTGAGCGCTTTTGAGCTTCTGCCGCTGCACCTCTAGGGGGAGCTCTAGCGGAGCGAGTTTCAGAGGGCGTCTCGGGGGGAGATTCTCAGATTCTCGCCCGGAGGCCTGAGCAGGAGATCGACCCTGATCCTGTATGGAGGAGGAAGAGGAGAAGGAGGAGGAGGAAGAGGAGAGCGTCAAGCGACGAGAATCCTCAGCATGTGTCGATAACAGATGGAGGGCAGGTGTGCGTGAGAGACGGCCCTTTTTAGACACCAGCTGAATGCCACAGCCACTTAGATGGATCATCGCATTTTTCCCCTGCCAGGTCAAACTCTCCTGCATCTGTAACACACACACATATGCAGAAGTGTGACAATTACATATATTGTTTTATGGAAAGGATATCAGTCACGCACACTACCAGTGGAAAATTTGGACACACTTGAATTTGTTTCTTATGATGATCTGAAGGTTTATACTTAAACACTTTGGTTTTGTAGACACAATAATGTGCATAAAGATTAATTTGTTCATAAAAATGAAAATTCAATTAATTGCTTTATTTACAATACACATAATGAAGGAAAAAGAGGCAAGTGTCCCGCAAACCAATTTAAAACATTCCAGGATGCACCCCATGCTTTGAAGATATAAAAAAATATATAAATTATTGGTCACTACTTAACACTTGAAATCAAAAGTTTACAGTTGTTTATTTAGTACTGACCTGAATAAGATATTTCACATAAAAGATGTTTACATATAGTCCACAAGAGAAAATCATTTTCCAGAAGGAACAACGATGCATTAAGAGCCAGGGGGTAAAAACTTTTTGAAATTGAAGATCAGGGTAAATTTAATTTTTTTTTGTCTATCTTCTGTAGCTTCTGAAAAGGCAGTACTAAATGGAAAAAAAAAAGAAGATATTTAGGCAAAATAAGAAAAATTTTAAAATTTTCATTCTGCAAGGTGTATGTAAATTTTTGACTTCAACTGTAATTCCCATATTCACATAACTAAATATTAAAAATAATAATAATTATAAAGTTAACAATCATGTTTATACTAGGGGATATATTTACATTTAAATTTACAACTACTTCTTACAGAAATCATTGTAATATTTGATCAAAGTAAACATTTACCCTCATGTCAAACACGAATACATTTTATTTTTATTATGGCCATTTCTGATAACTTACAAAAACTTTATATTTCTCTACATTGCAGTAGCTTTGTTACACTTCGGTGCCACAGACTGTTTTATTACTGATTTAAAACCACATCAGTTTAATTCCAAAAGTGGAGTATGTATGCATATATGCAAAATAGGACAGTGCATTGTTACAAATAGCATTAACAAAAATATATACATCTACAATAATTTGCCATGCTTGTTATTCATACTAAAATAAAACTACATTTTTTAAGACTTACTTTAAAATATTTTGTTTATTATTTGTTTTGTTTTGGATTTGTGACTTGTCCACAGATATTTTGTGACAATAAATTAACACATTTTTGTAATTTTGTAATAAGAACAATAATTTCGTCTAATAGAATAGAATAGAATAGAAGGTTTATATACTCACAACTGATGCCATAATTTCCTGCCTGTGTTTTTGTCGATTCATCAGACCGTGTGTTTGTTCCTCTGTCCTTGCACTAGACCATGACTCTGCAGAGAGAGAGAGTGTTAAACAGTTGTCTTAGTGATTGGCAGTAAGATCCTTATGATAAGGATTGGGGTCAGTGTGCAGGTGTGTTGTGATCTCTGATGATGTCAAAGCCAGCACACACACACACATACACACACACACACACACACACAAACCCACATGTGCTCTCATGAACACATGGCCTTCTTTCCTCTTATTGAAAAACAGTTTGTTTTGAACATAGAAATGTGATTATTTTGTTAGCAGCCACTAGATGGTACTACAGACTGCAGCTTACTACTACCTGAATACTGCACACTGTACACTTTATACAGCTTTATAACAAGGTGCTGTACCCCTAAAGGTCCAATTTGGTACTATTATTAACCCTTTAGGGGTAAACAAGGTCCAAAGGTGTCCCTTTGAGGGTACTGCCCCAGTTACAAACTGTTGCACTCTTAAAGGTACAATTTGGCACTATTATTAACCCTTTAGGGGTCAACAAGGTACAAAGGTGTCCCTTTGAGGGTACTGCCCCAGTTACAAACTGTTGCACTCTTAAAGGTACAATTTGGCACTATTATTAACCCTTTAGGGGTCAACAAGGTACAAAGGTGTCCCTTTGAGGGTACTGCCCCAGTTACAAACTGTTGCACTCTTAAAGGTACAATTTGGCACTATTATTAACCCTTTAGGGGTCAACAAGGTACAAAGGTGTCCCTTTGAGGGTACTGCCCCAGTTACAAACTGTTGCACTCTTAAAGGTACAATTTGGCACTATTATTAACCCTTTAGGGATAAATAAGGTACAAAGATATCCCTTTGAGGGTACTAGTACTGCCCCAGTGACACGCTGTTGTACCCCTAAAGGTACAATTTGGTACTGTTATTAATATTTTTTCTGACAGTGTATACAGCACATTTTGGCAAATTATTCAGCATTTTTCTGACATTTCTAAATTCTCTGGCTAAAAACAGCAGATCAACTAAATCTACACATGTGGAAATGTAAAGCAAGCAAATGATCCCCGGTTTGATGATCTTACTCTCCATTTGTGAGGTGGAATGAGATATTCAGTGGCCTAATCTTCTGTCCAAGTCCTCATAGTTACCCTGAAATCCTCTTCTTCCATGCTGGGGCTGATGGGATTATATGTATGGCTGTGCTGTTGAGTGAGGCTGATCCCAGTGACCCAGAGCAGGGAAAGTGCTGTCGTAATCCAGACCCGAGCCAAGCGGCGGAAAAAGCAAGCTGACCACATACTCACACAGGCATGGGTGCAGAGACGCCAAAATTGGTTTCAACAGGGCAATGGGCTTAACAAGCATCAGAGCCGCACAGGCTCTCAAATCTGCTGAAGAATTGTAACAATCTGCCTGCAACCCCAGGCCTTCAAGGCAGCCATATCCATCTGTCCTGATCCGCTCGCTCACAGATGTGATTGTTCAGATGGAAGCAGCTGATAATGCTGCTTTTGTGGGCACTTCCTTTCTCTATTTTCATTTTTGCTCTATTTTTGGGCTCTGAGAAACTAGCGAGAACACATTCACTTCAAAGCCAGCACAGGTGAAGACCACATCAAATTTCAATACTTACATTTTGCTGATTTAAAAATCTTTAAAATGAGTGTGGCTCAGTGGTTGTTAGGTTGTTGCTACAGTATGTGGTTGCCAGGATGTTGCTAAAGTGTTCTGAGTATTTGGCAGGGTGTTGTCTAGGAGTTCTGGTTGGCTGCAAGGGTGTTGCTAAGTGTTTGTCAGAGTGCTGTTCAGTAGCTGCTACGGTGTTCCTAGGTGGTTACCAGGGTGTTGCTCAGATGCTCTGGGTAGTTTCCAGGATGTTGCTCAGGTGTTCTTGGTGGTTGCCAGAGTGTTGCTAAAGCGTTCTGGGTGGTTGCAATAGTGTCGCTACATGGGTGATTTTGTAGATGCTAAGGTGTTTTAGGTGGTTACCAGGGTGTTCTCAGGTGTTCTGGGTGGTTGCCAGGATGTTGCTAAGGTGTTCTTGATGGTTGCCAGAGTATTGCTTTTCTGGGTGGTTCCAATGGTGTTGCTACATGGGTGCTGTTTAGTAGTGGCTAAGGTGTTCTAGGTGGTTGCCAGGGTGTTGCTCAGATGTTCTGGGTAGTTTCCAGGATGTTGCTCAGGTGTTCTTGGTGGTTGCCAGAGTGTTGCTAAAGCGTTCTGGGTGGTTGCAATAGTGTCGCTACATGGGTGATTTTGTAGGTGGTAAGGTGTTTTAGGTGGTTACCAGGGTGTTCTCAGGTGTTCTGGGTGGTTGCCAGGATGTTGCTAAGGTGTTCTTGATGGTTGCCAGAGTATTGCTTAAGTATTCTGGGTGGTTCCAATGGTGTTGCTACATGGGTGCTGTTTAGTAGTGGCTAAGGTGTTCTAGGTGGTTGCCAAGGTGTTGCTAAGGTGTTCTGGGTGGTTGCGAGAATGTTGCCTAGGTGTTCTTGGTGGTTTCCAGAGTGTTTCTCAAGTGTTCTGGGTGGTTGCCAGATTGTTGCTCAGGTGTTCTTGATGGTTGCCAGAGTATTGCTTAAGTGTTCTGGTTGGTAGCAATGGTGTCGCTACATAGGTGCTGTTTAATAGTTGCTAGGGTGTTCTAGGTGGTTGCCAGGGTGTTGCTAAGGTGTCCTGGGTGGTTACCAGGGTGTTTGCCAGGATGTTGCTAAGATGTTCTTGGTGGTTTCCAGATTGTTGCTCAAGTATTCTGGATGGTTGCAATGGTGTCGCTACATGGGTGCTGTTTAGTAGTTGCTAGGGTGTTGCTAAGTGGTTGCTAGCATGTTCAGAGTGTCTGGAAGTGGCCACTAAGGTGATCTGGGTGATTGTTAGGGTGTTGCTAAGGCAATCAGTTGTGGTTGCTAGGGTGTTGCTAAATTGTTCCTTACTGGCCCAAGTATATGGAGAATTTCACCTGTTTTGACATGCACCAGGTGAAAAATGAGCTTGATATGAGATAAGACAACACAAAAAATGTGAATGTTTAGTATAATTCTAAGGTGTAATTCCATACCTAAAAATGTGACAATTTGTCCAATTTTCTTTTATCACCAGGTGCAACACGTACGATTTTGTGTCTCCGAGTTGCTCTTGCAGCTTTCTCAAGATGTTTCCAGCCATCCTAATAGAGAAAAATACGATTTTCTTTTCAGATGCCTGGTGGAGTTTATTGTACGTGTCTCGGTCTGAAGTTGTTTCTCCTGAAATGTCAAACACCTGTAGTGCAAAGAGAAAAAGAGGTTATTACAGCAAAGACGAGAATCTCACCGGGTTTGTGACGGTTGGCCCTGCGGTTCTCCAGACAGACCACGATGGACAAAAGTGCTCACATTTACTCACAGTCTCCCATGGAGGGGTCACTGACCACCATTTATTTGAGGGAATTTAGACGCCCACTGTTCCACAGTGCTTTCACCTGTTTCAATCCTAAAGCACCACAAACATGAGGGTGAACAAATAATAACATAAATTATTACTATAATCCACCCCACATAAATAGCTTAGCACATTGATTTTGTTAGGAGAGAAAGTCATAAACTCAGATATGAATGACTGACCAAACATCAATGTGGTTTGTTTTTTAGAGATTCAATCTTCTGGGTTTTACTGCAGCACATTTGAATGCTTTCATATACAAATATAATTTATTTGACATAATGGCAATCTGGTGCAAAAGGATATTCTGTAAAATGAAAGAACAACCTGTACTCTTGGCTAGAATTAAGACCCAAGTAATTTTTGATGAAGGTGGATTCATTTTGTCCCAGAATGCCCAAGTATATTAGCTAAATTTTTCATTTTTCATTTTACTCTTTATTAAAATGTAAATAGCTTATGAAACTAATGCATATATATATATAT